TTTAATATATATATATATATATATAGAGAGAGAGAGAGAGAGAGAATTGGATATTTGATTATTCATTATCTTATTAAATTGTGTATACAGAATAAGGGTCGTTTAGCTAAACGCTTACTTGATAAACATTTATCATTACGAGTCTATGCTCTCGTTTACTTTATTGGATAAGATTCTAGTAAATCAAAATGACATTATATGCAACAATTTTTTTGACAAGCACTAACCGGGTAAGAGTCGTCACCCTCACTTATCAGGTAAAACTCTTAAGGGCTGTTTACCAAACGTTTACTCGTGTAAGTGAACACCAAGTCTCGTTACCTTACCGGATGTATATGGTAAGGACCAAAAATCTTACCTGGTAAGAGCGAGATGAAGACCACGAGTCTTACCTAATAAGTGAGGGCGACGACTCTTACCACGGTAAGTGCTTACCGGGTAAATTGTTGCGTACGATATCGTTTTAATGGACTAAAATCTTACCCGGTAAGTAAATGATAGTGTTAAATTTACCGATAAGCGTTTACCGGGTAAGTGTTTGGTAAACGGCCCCTTAGTCTTTGGCATCGCTCTTACGAGTAGGATTATGGGTCCTTATAATGTACATCTAATAAAGTAAATGACCTAGTAAGCATTTACTGGGTAAGCGTTTGATAAACAATCCCTAACTTTGTATTATTTACAAACAAAGTAAACATAATATAGTATCGTGTTTTAGTTACTGGTTTTTTTAGGTGGTGATTCAGGCCAAAACGGAATTTTGTATGACATGAAGAGTGATAAAAAACGTTATGGTTTTTGTTGTTTTTGATGTTAAAACATTTATTTTGTCTAGTTTTTTATGTTATAAATAATTAATATATTAAGCATGATTATTTAAAAAACATTGGTTTATTTTCCGTATGATATGTTTAAATAATTAATAAATTTTGTATGTATCAAACTAAGGTTCAAGCATTGGAGATTTGTATCACAAAGAGATTTGGGTATGAATTTCACTCCGTTTTCTTTTTAGCTAAATCAACAAGCTTCGGAGTGGTGAGAGTGAGAATTTTGTGGGAAATTTGCAGGACCTGTCTATAAATCTTCTCTTTCCAAATATTGGAATTTTTAAAAACATCTCATAAGTTTATGACTGTTATGTTATTGTTTATCATCTTAAGAAACATTACAACTTTTATTCACAAACCGGAACATGCTCAAAAAGTTTATGAAATTCTCCGATTCTCAGTAGTTCAATTCATGTGAAAACGATCTCGGTACTTTATCACCATATTACTTGCAAACGATCATAGTGTCAACGTGCACTTGCACCGTCATTACGAGAACTTTGTGCCGATTGTGTGAACACGAATGATTCATAGGTACCAAAATCATATAAAACAATAATAATGTATCAGATTCTAATGTTCTCATAATTTTTGTGAGTAATCAAAAGAATACCTCTGTATGTATGAATATAAATTAATAAAAATAAATGAGCTTAATTAATATATAATTAAATAAATTTAAATAAAAGTTACTATATAAAAACTAAAAAATAATTTCATAGTAATTGTAAGAATTTGTATTTTAATTATAACATAAATAGATTTAATCTATTTTTTATAAATAAACCAATTTAAACACAATTTTTTTTTTATTCCAATACTTGTTTAGTTAAAAAGAGAAATGAAATATGAAAATTAATTAAAATAGTTTTTTTTTTCCTCTTATTATTTCAAAAATATCATTACCTCTACAAGTAGCAACCCCTCAACTTGTTTACAAATGGATCAAAGTGTAAAGAAAATAAGTTTATGAACTAGGTGTGCAAGTATAAGGACCAAATATGTAAATTAGACCGAACACTTACACGAGTGACGAAAGTGCCAATATCTAATTTACATATTAGGTCTTACATTTATGGTTGCATACCTGGTTTAAAACTTTCTTTTAACATCTCGACTCTCTGTAAATTAGAGAAATGCCACTTATAAACGTAGTGATGTCTTTTAAATTTTGAGAAGGGAAACAACTAAAAGATGAGTTAAAAACATGAAAATGACTATTTCTATTAATTTTGTAATGAAATAATTGATTGTTAATTTACAAGTAATTTCGGAAAAAGCAATTGTAAAAAAATCAGGGGAAATTATCTAAAATGACCATTTTATACACGGTACGTTAACAAAATGACCACTTTTCATAAAATTTTCACAAAATCACCTCTGGAGGGTGATTTTGATTATTTTGGGGCGATTTTGACTATAAGGTACGGATGTGACCCACATGTATACTATTTGGGAAACAAAAATCAAGGTATTATATCTGATATATATGAAATGACCCTCATTTTATCCAAATCATGGGGCGATTTTGATCTATATTCCATCACCTGGTAAAGACACATTATAACGCAACGATTTGATACATTAATGACGATTTGACGAGACATTGGGGGCGGTTTTAATTGATATTTTGTCTTTTTATGATAAAATATAATATATATATATATAAATCTTGTAGTATTCTCTATAAATTTACAGTGATCCAAACAATTTTACTCCTACAACCCTTAAATATAAAACCACAACCTTTAGCACAAATATAAAATCACGTCAAAACGATGATGGTTCCATGTATATATCTACCGTCACAACCTTTAGCACAAATATAAAATCACGTCAAAGTGATGATGGTTTCATATATGTTCAAAGTGGCGGGTTAAGAGTTGTGATAATAGAAAATGTTTGGATCACTACAATTTTATAGAGATTACTACAAGATTTACATATATTATATTTGGTCATAAAAAAGATAAAATACCAATAAAAATCACCCCCGATGTCTCGTCAAATCGTCTTTGATGTGTCAGATCTTGCGTCATAGGTTGTCTTCGCTAGAAGACGAGGGGGTGATTTTAACTTTTTGAGGGTGATTTTAACTTTTTGAGGGCGATTTGCCCATTTTCAAATATAACATATGATTTTTGTCCCAAAAATGGTATACATGTGAGATCTTTCTATACCTTATAATCAAAACCGCCAATCATGAACGATTTTAATGGTCATTTTGTGAAAAAAGTTTTAAAAAATAGTTATTTTATTAATATAAAGAAAATGGTTATTTTGGGTAACTTCTCAAAAAAAAAAAAAATTTATGTTTAAAATAAATCTATTTTGCACCCATTTGAAATCGCCAAAGCCTAGATTTGACCACAGACTGCCGAAGGCGGGAAATGAATTCTTGAGGTTCAGGCATTTCAAGTAAATCCTCTCGCCTCCAACTCCAATCTCATCAACCATGGAAAGAATCAACGTCGCAGTTAGAGCAAGACCTCTCTCGCCGGAAGATGCCAAGACCAGCCCTTGGAGAATCTCCGACAACTCCATCTTGATCGCTAACCCTCATACCAAGTTTGATTTTGGTACTTCTTCTCTTATCCTCATCCATTTCTTATCAACTCGTTTGGTTGGGAAAGGTGTGATTAGGAGTTCTATTTCTAACATTCTGCTTTATTTTTGGTGAACCATAGACCGAATTTTCAGTCAGGAGTGTAGTACTTTCGACGTTTATGAGTCGAGAACGAAATATATTGTTGCAGCAGCAATTGGTGGATTTAACGGTATGCTTTAATATCCGGTGATTTATTAATGTGCTCCATACTTCAATTTTCTCTGAGTTTCAACAGCATTAATTCTGCTAAGTACTTGTCTTTACTAGTTCACCAACATGCCTTTAAACACTTGGAGTAAAATTATATAATCTTATGGCACCTGAGACTAACATTTCAGAATTCGGGTATATCTGATGCTGCCTCCTTGGTAAGGGATCACAATTTAGTATCAGATGTCAAACTTAATACCTTTCATGGGAAAATTATGGTGATTTGGATTTAAAATCAACATCATTTTGTAGAACTTGTCATGAAGTTTAAAATAAGGTATCATCTCTTTCCCATGAGCTTGAAATCCATATTGATTTTAAGGTTGAATACAACATGTTTAATCTCCCAAGTCAAAAGGGCAGGTTTTACGAGGGAATAGAAGATAGGCCTCTCTGCTAACTACTAATATGTAGAACTGATGTTTMGTAAGCCAGTAAAGTTGCTTCTGAAAAACAGTGGTTGATCCATTTTTATATTTTCCACTAGAGGCCAAAAGATCTGTATGCAATAAATCTAGGCATTAATAGTGGGCAAATCTGTGATTGTTCTAGTCTCTAGTAAACTTGTCTATAAATAAGAGAATATAATCAAGAAAAGGAAATATATTTTGAGATTGTTAGGGTTGTGATTTACATGCACTTATAGAATGTCTTAGAGGTACACCATCCAACACCGAATAGTTATGAGCCAGGTTTCTAGATGACTACAATGCTATCTAGCGAAAAACGTTCACAATGATGGGAAGCAAGAAAGTTAAAGGTTATGCTGTAGACTTGGGTTGTCTTTGGCAATAATCCATCTCTCTATACTCTGTGCACTTCAAACATATTAGTTGCAAATATTGGAAAAGGCTCCAGGCAAAAGGGCTGTAATTGTGAAGATAAATATGTCATCACTCAGTTTAGAATACTGTTTGTGAGGTGTACCATTTTTGTCGGTTTATTGAACTATGAGATTATAAGTCAAGTACATCGTTCTATTTCAACTTGTTCTTTTATTGATTATCACAGGACCTATTTTGAAACATTAGGCTATTAGCTTTTAAGCTCCATGACAACCCTGTCTTCTTTTAACTGCGTTCTGTTCTACAATGTAGTAATCTTACTTTATTTTAATGCTAATGCCTTCTAACGGTCTCTCTCTCTCTCTCTCTCTTTTTTGGGGGGGGGGGGTTGTATATCTTGTATATCCATATTCCACTTTATCTATCTTACCGCCTTTTCTTTAGGCACTGTTTTTGCATATGGACAAACAAACAGTGGCAAAACGCATACTATGCGTGGGTCTAGTGTTGAACCTGGAGTCATCCCTCTAGCAGTGCATGATCTATTTGACATGATACACCAGGTAGTAGTACGTCTTTGTAACTTTCTATTATCAACTATTTTGAACATAGGGGGTGTTTGGTTCAGGCATAGGAATGAAAATGGGAATGAATTTTCATTTCCCCAGTTTAACTTGGAATGAAAATTTGGGCTTCTAGGGGAATGAGCCCATTATATTATATAAAATCAAACAACTTCTTTATTTTCATTCCCATTGATTACTCCTTTTTCATATTATCATGGAAAATAAAATTTTAAAACAAGAAACAATATTCAGACTGATAAGTGCAATGATCGTTGGCTTCTCTGAAGTCCCATTTGGTGGCCATTTCCATTCATCTTTGATTTAGCTTGTTCGACGTTTTTTTTTGAAGTATATAATATTTATATATGGCAAATGCAACAAATAAACTCACACACCCTCCTCACCTATGGTGAGGTTTGGACCCCTGACCTCCTAGAAGGCCAAGGGCTACGATACCGCTAGGCCAAGGGCTACGATACCGCTAGGCCAAAGGCCCTTTGGTAGCTTGTTCGACGTTGATATGTTCTCCGTTGGGATCCCATTTAGAGTAAATCCATTGCAACCACCATCTTTTCCTTTTTGAAGAGAGTGTATGTGACATTATGAGAAAGAAAACATTAACTCGTATGCTCATTCTATAAAAAAGTAGTTGTGGTTGCCAAAGATCTGCCCTTTGATTTATTGAAGACAAAATAATATCTGTTTAAGTACAAGCCAGGCTAAGACATGCCCTTTTAGGCTAGGAAAGCAATAGTTGCCACATTAGATGGCTTAATGTGTTGCCTACTTGCCTTGTCCATATCTACTCTAGGGAGAACAAGATGGAGATGCAGTTTAGTGTATTGCCTTGTCCATATCTATTCAAGGGAGAACAAGATGGAGATGCAATCTTTACCCATGATTTGCATGTTTATCTGTAAATTGTAATAGCCATCATTCACAAATTTGATCTTGGTTGTACCTAGTTTCATAATTCTCTCTCTTTCTGCACCTGCTTTTATTATATCTATAACAAGATGGTTGGATTTTAGACACTTGTATGCTATCAATAAAATTTGCGTTAGACTGTCAGTTGTGCCTCCAATTGGATTTCATGCGCTTGGTCATCTATCCTTTTTTCTTTTGTTTCCTTAAAGGAAATGGATCGTGAGTTTCTTTTGAGAATGTCCTACATGGAGATCTATAATGAGGAAATCAATGATTTGTTGGCCCCAGAGCACCGAAAGCTGCAAATTCACGAAAGTATTGAGGTACAAATTTTATGACATTTATTGTCCTTTTAACTTGCATATGATTTTTACTTTTTTTTATAATTATGTTTCTATATATAGCGTGGCATATTTGTTGCTGGTCTGAGAGAAGAAATTGTTACTAGTGCTAAGCAGGTGCTTGAATTCATGGAGTTCGGTGAAGGTAATTCCTAATATAAGTCACACTTTCTCTACCTGTAATGTTTCTTACACGGCAGGGTTTTCAGGATAGAGGTTGCATCTAACTTCATTGTAACCTCATACTTTATCTCATTTCTTTTAAGCAATCATCTTACTCATACCAAGTGCATAATTTTTTTGGTCCTGGGGACAGGTGTTCTCAAAATTTTATCGGCTTTTTCGTTCAAAACCGTTTATTCTCCTCTCATGGCCTGCTTCTGACTTCATGTTATTTACTTCTAAGTTTAACGATCTCATCTTCTGCTTGGTTATTTCTTCTTACACTTTGTAGCTCATCGTCATATTGGGGAGACAAACATGAATTTACACAGCAGTAGGTCTCATACCATTTTCCGCATGGTATGGTTACTATTCTTCCTAACTTCTTCTATTTGAACTTGTACAAGTTCATGAGATGAAATTTTGGCTTGTATAGATTATTGAGAGCAGGGATAAAGTTGAAGATGAATATGCAGAGAGTTCTTGTGATGCTGTTCGTGTATCTGTTTTGGTATGCATTATGTAACTACTGATTTTCTTCTTAGTTTACACTTATTTCTTTTGTTGTTACATCAGATGCAATACGCTGCTAATTTATTTCTCCATTTTCCTTATTTGTTGTCAAAGAACTTGGTAGACCTTGCTGGTTCAGAACGAGCTGCCAAAACTGGTGCAGAAGGTGTTCGCTTGAAAGAGGGTTCCCACATCAACAAAAGCTTGATGACACTTGGGACTGTAATTAAAAAGCTAAGTGAAGGTGCTGAGAGCCAAGGGTAGGTTCAGATGTCCCTGAGTGTGATCTTGTAAATCCAACCCTTTCTTATAAAATATATTTTATTGTCTGATGCAGAAGTCATGTTCCTTACCGAGACAGCAAACTTACACGTATCTTGCAGCCTGCACTGGGTGGGAATGCAAATACAGCCATCATTTGTAACATTACACTGGCACAGGTGAACCTTTAGATTCATACAGATAAAGATCATAGAAATTTTGCATGTCTATTTAAGACTAGACAATTTTTTTAAAGACGAATCCAGAATAATAAACAAAGATGTAATTATCACCAGTGAGTGTGGAAAGTACTTCTACACTGAAGATAGAACTCACTCCTAACTATCTGAGTTTTTCTTTAACAAGATTGAAGGAGATTTAAAGGGTAAGAGTACAACTTAATTTTTGTGCTTTTATCATGGTTAATATTCTTATATTCTCTGTGCAGTTGATTGGTTCTGTATTGTCAAAATAATTTTTTAAGATTCAAGTGTTTTCAGTGACATTTATTTTCACAATGAAGTATTTCATTTGTTGCATTTCGTATTTCAGCAGGTCATTTTTTCTTTCTGTACTTATAGTTATCATATAAATAGAATCACAACTGGTTTCTGATTGCAAGAGTGGCTTTTCAAGTCAAATTAGAATTTGAACATGGTGTCACAAACATTAAATGAATTGTATTGTTTAAACTTTGATGTGGCAGATTCATGCTGATGAGACTAAAAGCAGCCTTCAGTTTGCAAGCCGAGCTTTACGTGTCACTAACTGTGTTCATGTGAATGAGGTTTGTTCTTAACACATCTCATGTTACTGTGTTCTGTAAGTCGCACTTTTCTCAACTTCACTCTACATTTCTTGCTATTTGGCAGATTTTGACAGATGCTGCTTTATTAAAGCGCCAAAAGAAAGAAATTGAGGAGCTCCGAGCAAAGTTACAGGTTGACCATTCATGCTCATGAAACACTGTTCATTTACTCATTTAGTATGATACCTTCAAAGCACTTGATTGCTATTATCGTTATTGTAATCGTTTTCTATTGTTTTTCTGTGCTCTCCATATGATCTTTAGGGTTCTCATTCAGACCACTTGGGAGAGGAGATTCTCAACTTGCGGAATACGTTGTTGCAGGTGGATAAAGCTTACCTAAATGATTGCCATATGACAAACATTATGTATAAATTCTTAATTGCAGTACTGTTATGTAGAGTGAATTGGAAAGGGAGCGAATAGCTCTAGAGCTAGAAGAGGAAAAGAAAGCTCAGGCTGAACGAGAAAAGATGTTGCTTGAGCAAGCGAAGAAGATCCAGAACTTGAGTTCTATGGTCTTATGCTCCAATAGAGATGAAGTTCGTGATCATCGCAAGAAGGTTTGATTCTATGGATGATATTTCTTCTTGTCACATCTTTTTTAATGTATCTGATGGAGTAATTATTATTTTTACTTAGAGATATATGTAGTCTCCAAAAGCACCATCGTTGAAATAAAATTAATCACCATATTTGAGTGATGTCAAGAGTAGCATTCTATTGTTATATTATATCCGATTTGTGATGCAATAAACTTGTAAGGGGGATCCCTTTAGTTTATCATGGGTTAGATTACAAAGAGATCCTAGTACTACACTGTGAGGTTTAAACAAATTTTATTTATTGTTTGTATTTCTCCACTAATAGTTTTTGTTTGAAAATACCATCTTGTATCCTTCATCTTTGATTGTACTCAATAAGCCCATATGTTGGATTTTCATGCAATTTTAAGTTGTATTTGAAACTAAATTTGACATTTGAAACTGTTGAAACTTTTAGGGAATTTCAAATGAACATGAGTCTTGCAAACCAGTGTGCTACCTTCTTTGGTTGAAAATGATAATCAGAAGACCCCTACCAAAGACTACCGATAAATATGGAGCTCAGTGCATGTTAGTTTTATTTGTTGCTAAGAATTTTAATCATGCAGGTTTTACTGTTGTAGAATTTATCAAATAAAAGTTGATTAGATGTCATGTAGAAATTGTTATGGGCACAAAAATTTCTAGAAATTGTCAGCTTGGATACAACTTTGTTAAAAAATTATTAGAACTATCATCTTAGCATGGGCATGTCAAAATGATTTTACCTCCTCGAAACTTGAATAACATGCAGTGAACTTGCATCATATTAATGTTTGTACAAGTGGATCCTCCATGGTTAATCATGTACTCCTTCCATAACATTTTTATTTCTAGTTTGGGATCTTAACGTGCAGTTGTACTTCTCTGAAGTTACCACTAAATAAGTTCTCTATAGACAGTCACTCTTTATCTAAAACATAATGATATCTCTCAGTAATTGCACCAAGTCAAAGTTTTTTTAATCGCAACTATACCTGCTTTTAGTGGTCAATTGTATTATATTGATTAGTGTACCTTATAAAAGGAAATAACTATCTGAACAAGCATACTGTTAGGATAACCACAATCAGTGTATTTTGTTGTTTATGAAATGCTATATGTTTTGTGTATGCTCAAAGTTGCTTCTTTTGGTGTATAAATATTCTGGACTTCTCTACTTGGTTCTCTTACTATTGTTTTTTCACTTACTTCACCTGACTTCTATTTCTCCCACCCCCTTTTGAACATGTTTGCTTACAAATCTTGACCAAGAAGGAAAAGCGGCGTGATACCTGGTGTCCAGGGAAACTTTCAAAAAAGATGACGAGTGAGGTATTAAACTATCCTACCAAACGTCTCCTTTGATATGGTACAAGAGTATGCATTAATTGCTAACTGAAGCAGACAGTATCTTGCTCCGTTGTTGGATATTTTGTTGATCAGAAACTATGGGGTTTTCAGAAGGAACTTATTATACTCGTATAATTCTATTTATTATATAATGTGTAAGTCGTTAAGATGAAATAACTGGCTACATTTGCTTGGAAGCTGTTAGTATTATTACATTTTCAAAACTCAAGAATCAAATAACTATGCATGTCTTGAATCAAATAAATTGTATTACAGTCCACTGATGGGTTTGAAAGAACTGATGCAACCCGTTCATATTGACAAAAAGGGATCGTTAAGCACATTCAGTTTGCAAGCCGACCCTTTATTAGGTTTCTCATTTTATCCCGTAAAACAATGACATCCATTTTTCGTTTTCCTCTGTAAGCTATAACTCATAATATTTGACACTTGTTATCACACAACCTACCACATGCCATTATGAGCATCGCTACCCTTAATGGGCTTGCAACATCCTTACACAGGATACTCATGTACTGAACCACTGGAAATCTTTAAGTTCTCCCTTTATCAGATAAATTCTCCTCTCATCTCAACCATTAATGATTTTTGTCATCATTTTCTGATATTAGAGGCTTTCTGCCAACATGAAATGCAATATTAACATGCATAATCCTCCTCTTCCTTTGCTGATTGAAAAGAACTAAGGGCATCTCCAACCAATGTGCTAAAGAGCTAAAGTGCAATAAAATAGCTACAAACCATCTCCAACCAATGAGCTAAAGTGCTAAAGAGTTTAAAAATGTGCTAAAGTGCTTCTTGATGGGTCAAGAATAGTCCATGCTAGTGGAAATCTATTTTGTATTATAGCTTTCTCTTCCTTTCAGTCCCTCGTCCATGAATGTGACTCCCTTGCTGGAAGGTCTCCCACGTATAGAGCACACACATACTAGTACACCCTTGGAAGAGAAAGATGGACCTTATTTTAATTCAAATAAAATGTATTCTTGACACACGTTTTATTTTAATTATTTGAAAATTATAGAAATTGAACTTTCTTTTTTACAAAAACCAATAATACATTAATACATTGTAATAAATCATTACAAAAAATAAGAATACAAGAACATGTTGTGTAGGATGATGCAAGTGAATAAGATATTGGAGAGTTACTATGATTAATTAATACTTACAAAATATGGTTAGAGTTAGATGATAAATTTTTAAGATGTAAAAATACAAAATTTAACTAATTAATACATAAAAAATGATTATTAAATAAGATATAGAAATATAAATTTAACCAATTATAATAAGGTAATGGAATTGATAGAGAATTTCATAGACCTAGGTGGGATATGAGAATTGATAAAGGGAATAAAGATGATGATAGAATCATCGAGGTCAGTATATATATATCTTTGATGTGGTCTGTCCACTTCAACTGCTTTTCATCTACCAAAAAGGCGGGCGGAATGGAAGAGCAAAAGGTGTCATGCCATGGAGTGGGTAATATCTCGAGTCTCATGGATAAACTAATAAATATAGGTCAAATATATAGAAGTGCTAAAGTTTAATACTACTCGGTTGGAGATGGTTGGTGCCATTTTTGTGAATAGTGAAAATTTGAGTGCAAAAGTTAGCACTGGTGATATGTTTAGCACTTTCGGCTGGAGATGGTCTAATAGGTAATTTAGCAACCCGATTTTTATAGACCAATCAATCTCTATGACCACTTGCATATCACAACAGTTGTTCACACTAACACACAATTCATGGATCTTCAATTCCTAGAGGAAGTACATACAATGTATTTGTAGGCAAACTTATATGTATTCACTATTCATGAATCTACATCTTTCCTCTTGTCTTCAACTTGACAAGTTTCAGCATTTATCGAAACATATATCTTCACAGCAGCATGAACTTAGCAAATTCTGTGTCTAGATATTGGACCTTTGGAAGGATGTTTTGAAATCCTTCTTAGCAATGCTGTTGCATTGTTCTGTTATGTCTTAGTTATTTATATAGTTTGGTTTTTCAGATAGTTCAACTGTGTATTATAATTGGTTCAGTTTTTAATTGTAAATCATTTATGCAATATTTTAGTTGTCCTACACTCATACTTGATGTACTTCTATCCATGGTCTCCAGCTACCTTCCACCATCCTAGGACAAGCTTCTGCGGTGAGACCCGATAGAACTGACCGTGAACGAGGGCCACTTCTACCTTTTGAGGAACTAGTAAATGATAAGACATCAAATGCATGCAAGCTGGAGACAGATTGTAATGGTGTGGCATTGAGTGACTTTGACCTTCCACATCCACACTCATTGATGCATGTTACAAGCAGAAAAAAGGCACCAACCACGAAAAGGAGCTTACCGATGGTTGGTTTTATGTTTGATCTGACATACCTTACAAAGCTTTGGCAGGGATGAATATGACTGTTTTGCTTGCAGGAAAGTGCTGAATTAAAAGAAATGCGAGCAGAATATGAGAACTTGCTCTTACAATTTGAAACTCAGGTCATTGTACTTTCTGCTGCTGCATTTTATGTTTAGTATACTTTGGTTTCATATTGTTATTTTCTTGTTACAGCGAACAACAAGTGAAATACAAATTGACTACTTAACAAGAAGACTTGAGGAGGCTAGTTATTGTTTAGATGAAGAACCTGGGAGTAATTACACATCCGATACTGATAAAAAAGCCATTCAATTAAGCACTACTAGAAGTTTGGGCGAAATGGAGGCAATTCTTGTTATCAAGCAACTTCAAGAAAAGGTCTGGTCCTTTCTTTTTCCCTCGATATTTCTTTTTAGAGATGAGTTTCCGTCTCAATATTTTGTGAATCTCTATATGCTGTAATGCAGATCTCGGAGTTGGAGATGGAGAAATCTTTAAGCTTCCAGAATGTGGATTCTGCTGTTGAATTAGAAACAGAGAAAAATATGTATGCCAGCAATAAGCATGATGAGGTTTTACTTCATGATTACTTCTTTTTCTTTTATTTTCTTTGTCCGATGCTTCTGTTTCCTGAGACCCTACGTGCACGGCTAGGACACAAAACTTGCCAATGTTATGCTTTAAAACACATCATTAGATCATCCTTGATCAAATATTACTTAAGCGTACAATTGAAGTGAGTAACATATATATTCCAACAACATTGAGTTCCACATATGGTAAAGGGTCATGGTAGCCTGCTGATCTCCATTTAGAGCATGCAATTTTGTTTATCCAGAAAACACATAAAAAAAAAAAAGGTTTAATGGCGGGGACCTCATGGCCCCGTGGTCCACATTTTGTGAACCCTACTTGCCATACCTCATAAGCAAGCACCGGAAAAGACAACCTGTCCTCCCCTGGAATCGAACCCGGGTGGGCACGCCCAAGGCAAGGCATTTACGGAAGGAGGTGGCCATCCAGAAAACACATATGCCACCACTTGGGGAAGATTCATAATATACGACATCTTCGAGGCAATAATAGTTCAATGAATTAAATCCTCACTGTTGACAAACACGCATTACATACCCAACAATACTTGAACCATGCTCTGATGATGATGACATCCTCTTGGAATAAAGATGTCATCTTTCTCTGCAAATTGGAGTTGATTGTATAATATAAGCTAAGGATACACCAAAGTACATTACATCTTTGTAAGGCAGATGGATGGTCAGGTAAGATCATGTGAGGTACGAAGGGTTCTACTAGGTGCTGTTGAGCTGCTGAGCTGGAATGGAACTAAGCCTACAAGGGCCGCTGAGCTGGTTGTGCCAGAGTCAGCTCCCCCTAGTTTTAGCGTGATACTCTGTGATACTTCAGGGGTTAAGGGTTTGAAGAATACTCCTCAAGTTGCATATTACTAAACATGAATATGAATATAGCTGATGGCCTGAAGCTAATAAACTCAAGTCTAACCTAGCTTTTATAATACTACAAGCATTATTATTTTTTACTGTAACGGTTGATTGCAATGAAAAACCATCGAATACTATTTTCGGATGAATATAAACTGCAGTTACCTATAAACTTATCATTATAATACTTATCTTTGGTGGAGATGGTTTGTTTTTCGTTATAGATATATTGCTATTCTTGCTTTAATCACTAATCGGTTTATTGTGGATCTTGTAGCTATACATGAAACTCCTGGCTGCACAGGAGGAAGTCAATTTGATTCATCAACAACTTATGGCAATGGTATCTACTATTACACTTGATGCATGCATCCTTTTATTTTCATGAAAATTGTTGCTAGGCTATAATTTGTAGTTCCTCTTCTCCTGTAGGTCTTTAGGCGTGTTATTTTCCAATTCACAAGTTAGAGGAACAGTCATTAGCCAAAGAGCATATAGGAACATAACGATACCTGGTTTCCATTTTTGTTAACTTCATTAATTAGCCAAAGAGCATATAGGACTTGGCGTTGTGCTCTTTAAGCTGTTTGAAATTCTTACTTTCACCTCCGTTTTACTGCATGAATTTATCTTGAACTATTTTCTCTCAATTCTTCATTTTCTATGCCTTTATGTATGCACCCATTTTTTTCACTTCAAAAATCGTCATTGTCTCAAGCTTTTCAAAAATGTTTCAAAATCTTTAAAACTTCCATGAACTTTTACAAACTTTCTGCTTCTTTATGAACGTTCCAGTACTTTTTGCAAACTGGTGGAAACCTCTTTACTCCTAGAGATTGGGAAAAGTCTACGTGCATCTTACCCTCCCCAGACCTGCTTTAGAGTCGGATATCATGGGGGTTCATTTGGTTTGATTTTGTTAATGTAAAATCAAAAAGGTATTTATCACTCATAGGGTAAGAATGAAAGAATGGATTTTAAACTATTACACTGAACCTTCACCTTTGCATGCTATCAAAAATAGAAGGGGAGAAATATCAGTTGAGAAATTCTAAATATTAATTTCAAGAATTACTCTTAGCACATGAAACCCACATAATGCTATGTAGGATGAGAACTCTGAAGCATTGACAAAGCTATCGGCAGACATCCAAGAAATAACATTTGACATTCAACATTCAGAAACCCTTGTTGGGTCTGTCACTTCGATGATGGAGGAACATTTGCAAAGTTGTGCTGCCCTGTCAGACCTTATTGCTGTGAGTAATTCGAAGTTCATGATGCCTTTAAAAGTTATGTGCCAGTAAGTGATGCTAATACTATGAGGTGTTACAATTTTGCTAACTTTTGCAGGACCTCAGGTCTTTCTCTTCCCATGACTTTATTCAAATAAAAACACTACTTGGTGGCTACGAAAAAGTGCATTCTTGCATGAAAGCCAAAGTAGATGAACTTGAACATGAAAAGGTACTTATCTATTTTGCTTCCATATAACCATGCTCTTATCATCTTCACTTTTCTGAGATCCATGTGGTTATTGTAGCTTCTTATGTACAATCAATCTAAAGACCTTCAGAAAAGGATAGAAGAAGCATGTTTAAGTGGTGAAAATTCAGCACGGGCATTAACAGTATGTCATTATTTTCCAACAGTGACGTAATTTATATTGTCCCCTCCACCGGACACTCTTCTGACAAGTTCAGTTTTTGTTTTCCAGGAACTTTCTGAACGTTATGAAGCAGAAACAACTGAATTTCTTTCTGAAATCAAAGCACTCCAAAATGAGATATCATCCCTATCATCTTCTGTCTTGGCTAAGGAGAAGGAAAGAATGAGAAAAGACCTTGAGAAAACAAAAGCAAAACTGAAAGAAACAGAGTTTAAGTTAAGGAATACCATTCAAGAGAAAACAAAGTTAGAGGTAATAGCTCATTTTTTCATATCAAATGTGATGCTTAACCAAAAGTTTTGTCTAATTTCACCTGTACATCTCTTATATATAGGGTGAAAAAGCATCTGCAGAGAGAGAAATAAAACGCTTGCATGGCCAGAAGGCTGTTCTTGAGCGTGATATAACGAAACGTGAGTCGATTGCTGGGAGAAGGCGTGATTCAGTTCTGGATAGAAGCTCAAATATTTTTGACTCGAGAAAAGCCAAAGGATTTGGTGTTACTGTTGATCAGGTGATAATACGTTGGTTTCAGATTAGATGCTTTAACCATGGATCCCCATATTAGACCTTTCTCCTGCAAACAGCTCCTAGGGCAAATCTTTCAGATAAATCGACACTTGCTACCTCTGATGTTTATTTATTTAAATTCAGGCATTGAACTAACTAAAATTGGTTGGATGCTAACGAGTTCCTATCTGATGCCTGCATGTTACTTTTACTTATCAGTGTTCGTTATACTATTCCACAAATTTATGTTCAAGGATCGAGGTTCCCATATCAAAATATATTATCAAAAGAGGTTGAGTCGTTGACTACTGAACAACCTATGTTCTGTACATATTAATGATATCACTTAAAAGTAAAATTGTTAATTATAACATATTGTTGGTAGTCAAGGTGAAATTTTGGGCTGCTGTACTGGACAGGAGACAAGTTTATTATTCGTTGGTTGGGAGGGGACTAGAAATTTATTTGTGGAGAATATGGGCAATTAAAGAAGTGACACTACTTTTCTTGTAGTACATATTTTCTAGTGAGAATCTTGAAATTGACTAGTAGCTTGTAGTGGCTCATGACATCAAGTTTGGCTCAATCCTTTATCTGTTCTCTTGCTATGTGGGGGTTGCTTAACTATTTGTTTCTTACATTACATAAGAGAGATAGGAAAAGCTACACCAGCTGATTAATGTAGCCTACATATCTTAGAATACCATAAGTTGCCATATAAGAACGAATTTGAAGACTAAATCAAATGAATTGCAGCTCATATATGTTCATGCAAGTTCAAGGAGGTGTGGTTCAGAACTACTCTTTGATTGCTCACTTCCTAAAATTCTTAAAATATGTACGGAGTAAAGCTGCAAGATAAAACAGAAGGATAATCTGGTCGTTAAAGGTATTAATGCTAGTCACTCTGTTGTTCAAAGGGAATAACAATGAAACAAACAGTTCTTATTATGGTTCCTTTTGAATGGTACATACCGATGTTTTAGCAACAAATCATCTACGTGTAGTTTATTGGGTCCTACAAGGTTACATCCTTGCTAGCAAATTGTATCTGATGCACCCTTAATAACTCAATGATGCTATCGAGATAATTGCTTCTTATGTACATATTTTAGTTGTGTAATTACCATTTTATTAAGAGTGTCCGTGCACAACTTTGCAATCAATCACTAATTTATCTTGACCTGTTGGTGAGATAAAGAAATGGAGGAAGATAGAAACCAACTAATTTTCTTCAAACGGTTGTTAGTTCTAATGTTTTCTGTTCACTTTTTCAGGAAGAGTACAGAAAGCTGGAAGTGCTCGCATTTGAGATGGAGACAACTATTGGTTCTCTAGAAGAAAAATTAGCAACCACTAATGATGAAAAAGAACAGGCAGTGTTGAATTCTGAAAGACTGGTCCTAGAAGTACAAGACTTGTCTGACAAATTAAACTTTTCGAACTCAGAACTGCAAGCATTAGAGGATCTGGTTTCAAGTCTTGTAAGCCCTGATTTGCATTTACCTGTTGATCTCTAAATCTTCTGCTTAAGTTGCAACTTGGATATTTGTTGAACTCATCATTTTTTTTCTCATCAAACTTTTCAAAAACCATGATTATATTATTGTTTCAGAGGGTGAACTTGGAAGAGGCAGCAATGAGTCATCAGAATGCAGAAAACTCTGTTAGTAAGTTGGTCGAGGAAAAGGAAGAAATGGCTATGGTATTGAGTTAACAAATGTGTTTATTTTATTATTGAACTGACTTCAGAATCATGTTTTTCCTTGTACTTGATTCTTTCTATCACATGTAACATGCAGCAACTTACCGATGCTCTTCTGGCAATTGAGGAGGAAAGAGCTATATGGGTTACCACGGAAAAAGCTTCAATTGAAGTCATTGAAAGCAAATCAAAGTTGTATAGTTCTGAGATTGCTTTGTTAACAGATGCATTGTCAGAGGTAAATGTCAATTTTTTATATATCCATATATTATGTATCGTTTATATATTACACCACATTTTACTCTAGAGAAAGTTAACCGTATATGTCTATGTTTTAAACCTGATTGACACATCTTAAACCACTTGAAATATGAAAGCACAAATGATCACCTCTTCTGGCACTTGGATAACAGAGAAAACCCGGAGTGTCAAACAGCTAACAATTCCCTTTCACCAATAACATTTGAAACATATACCTTTGGAAGCAAGAAGGAAGAAAGGAAAGCCAAAGACTAAACTAGGTATTCAAGCTAGTCTAGAGTAGACCAAACATACAAGTGAGCACATACACCACCAAGCATCTAGGTCAGTTTAGATGAATCCAAATACTAAACAGGTCTTGACTAATCTTAGTATCATGCAAGCAGCATGTATCTGAGCACGAAAGTCGGGGTGTGTCCAAGTGACTCAGAACATTAGAGGAAAACCCAATACTCTAAACTAAAGCAAAAAGCGAGTGCCACCACCAAGCCATGTAGTCGGCCAAAAAGACAAGGAAAGAATGCAAGTGGCCAATCAACCAACAGACCAAAAGTTAAGTAGTCAGATAAAAAGATTCTAACTAGCCAAGCCAACGATCGACCACAAATTGTTAGCCAACTAATCAGATGGAGCAAGTCCACTCATGAGGTTTGTCGAGCCTGTATGTCTCTTCAGAAGCAAGAAGAAACGACAGTAATGTGATGCCTGCAAGTAGCATTGCATGTCTGGCAACATTAATTGTTCATCGTCAAATAATAATAACAATAATAAGCATAAACTGATGAATAAATTCATTTTTTCTTTTGCCTTCTTAACACGTTTGGTAATAAATCCTTAAGCTTGTCAGGTCTCTATCATCTTGAGCTAACTTAGCTCATAGTTTCTAAACATATTAGTGCCTAAATAACCTAAAAGCCAGAAGCCCATTATACAAAATCCAGATGTGAACCAAAATGGAATATTCATGGTTTGGGTGGATGCCATCATTGACTAGTGGGGCCCGGGATGAAAATCATTTTCTAAAATCTAATGTGATCAGCAGCTGTGCGCAGTGGTTGACTATTGTGATTGTTGACCAAGCCAATCAGATCTAGTTCTGGATACCAAGTTACTTTAACTTGTCTTTTCCATATTCCCATATCTCTCCTGCTACTACTTCGGGTACCAGTTGTGCACTATGGTTATGAAGTACTTCATAACCGTAGAGGAAATAAAGACTTCTAGAAGGGTTTATTTTATGTGGATAAAAACCAGTGATGGACATCAGGACATCAGGACATCAGGAATACTTCATGGTTATGAGTACTTCATGATTTTTGCTTATTTTCTCGATGTCTAATCTTTAAGGCCTCTGGACATCAGGAATTCCAATCTCATGGAATGATGGAACCATTTGTTCATTAGAATAGTTTTGTCGATCCTAATTTCCAGTATTTTAAGTTCTTAACTTGATAATCTGTGTACTGCTTTAAGGTGAGGAATGAACTTGAGGCCTGCGGAGAAGAATGCAAGGCCATCAAACAAAAACTAGCTTTTGCAGAAGAGAAATTGGAAGTGGAGAAGGCATGCAGGTTTACCCCCATTCTTCTGTTAGTCATTGCTTTGTCAGTAATCAGTCGTATGATCCTCTATTGTATGATCTATATTTTTGAGATTTTCGGTTATATCCGTCAAATGTGACTTTCTTTGCCATGCTGGAAGTCAACGAAGTAAAAGGTACAAGATGATATTCCACGGACATAGCGTCCCTTGATGGACAATACTTTACTGTAAAAGGAAATTTGTTGCTTAGTAGAATATAAATGATCCTTAATGAGATTGACTCACCGGGTTGTAGATCACTGCACCATCTTCCCTAGTCAAGAACATAAGATATGTGTATAATCAAGATCAGATGATTTGTCCCATGTACTTAAGGTAGTACAGAACATATCCACTTTCCAACTAATTGAATTTTTTCTTGTTCTTTATTTGGAGATATTTTTTAGCCATTTGTACAATTGATATGAATTATTCTATGATAAGTGGCCACATAATGTGTATGTGATAGAAGTTTGTGTAACATGTACTCTAATTTTCGAGTAGAGTAAGGGTTCTTTATTGGTTTTGGGGTTACCTTCACATTTTGAAATTTCTGGCACAGTGTGGAAAAGTCACTTCAGATTGACCAACTAAAGAATGATCTCAGACAGCTTGATGATCAGAAAAAGATATCTGAAGATGTAAGTTTACACTTCTCGTTCTATATTCTACTTGACACTAATTTGTCACAATACACACTTCAGTTATATATTTCCTTACACGCAATTAGTGATAAATCTTCAGGCTTTGAAGTCAAAACTAGAGGCCCTTTCTTTTGATCATCGAAATGCATGGGAAGAAGTTGATAAACTTCGGATGGATTTAGATGCACTTAGTAAAGAAAGAGATGACTTGGCAGCCAATGGCAGGGAATTTGGTCAAGTTTCAGAGCTTATGGATGATATCCAGGTTTCGTATTAGTTTCTTATTATAAGTACTCCTGCCAACTTGATACCGAAAGTATTGCATTTAAAGTTTGTGAAACATTGGGTTGAAGATCCGCAGAATTTATCCAACATTCAACTAATCTGTAATGTTACATTTACAGAAATTACGCAATCAGCTCCTTGAAATTACAAAAGAACGAGATGAGGTACTGACTCAGGCTGAAGAACTGCAAAATTCTAAGGCCGAGCAACAATTGCTCGTGGAAAAATGTCATGACAAGGTTAAAGACCAGAACTTCATTGCCATTATTTGGGATTTCATTTCACTGTATCTAATAGGTTGCCTATATTTTGAGCAGTTCTTGAATGCCAAAGCTGAAGTTGAGGAGTTGACGATGAAGCTGTCCACTCTAGAAGTCAAGTGGCACAACGTAAGCTCTTTTTTCTCGAGACCTATGCATGCAAACATGTTCAAATCATGCCTTACAAAAATGAAATTAGCAGTGGTTGATCTTCAGAACATCATATCTAATCCGTGTCTCATTAATTCGAAATGGAGACCATAGGGCTCCTTGTTATACAGTATATAGAGCTGAACCTTGGGTCTTTCCCTTTTGAAGATCATTGAGTTTTGCTTCTAGAGAGTCGAGACATTCACGCCTTGTGCTTGTTTTGTGTGCTTTGGGGGGTCATGTTTCTTTCAATCTGTTGACTTGGGGCTAATCTGTTTTACACTATAAGACAGTATCTTGGATAAGAGCAATCACTTTGCTATGTTAAAAAATCTGTCTTGCTGCTATCTCAACTAATTCAAACTCATGGAACTCGGTTTCTTCTAAATGTATATGTTCCTAATATGTCTATTTAGTACTTTGTGTTTCCTACTTCGTTTTTGTTGGAGTATCACATCAGCTAGACAACCCTTTATCCTCTATATACGTTGGGAAGGGATCTGACCTGATTCCACATATCTCTCATGGTATCAAAGTCTTCCTCTAAAAAGGACTCTGACAATCTAGAGCACAGTCTTTGTTGAAGGGGGCGTGTTGGAATCCCACATTGGCTAGACAATCCTTTATTCTCTATATATGTTGGAACCATCTTTCTCTCCTAAAAGGCTCTTTTGGAGAGTAATATGATGGCTTTCACACATCTCTCATGATATCAAAGTCCGGGTCTTTCTCTAAAAGTGACTCGACAATTTGGAGCACCGTGTGCGTAGTCTTCGTTGGAGGGAGCGTGTTGGAATCCACATCGGCTAAACACAAATCATTAAACATGTATATATATAGGAACTCAAATGTGATATTTTTGGTGTTTTTTCAAACAGGATGAGGTGAAAAACAGCATAGAGAAAGCAAAAACAAGGATGAGGCTGAATGGAGCACAACGAAAGTTAGATAGCATTCGGATGCGATGCAAAGAAGAAATGCAGGAGAAAGACTACATGCATAAGCAATTCGAAGACGCTACAACAAAGTTGAAAAGTCAATTGGTTTCGCGTGGAAGCGAAATCCTCAACCTCAAGAAGCAGCTTGCTTTGAAGGCGTAGTCATCAATCCTCCCAAACTTGTATAATCTTTGTAAATTCGAAAACACATCGCAGGGGCCGTTTACCCAAATGCTTACTGGGTAAGTGCTATTCAACACTATCACTTACCTTACCGGGTAAGATTCTAGTCAATTAAAATGACATCGTAGGCAACAGTTTACCCGGTAAGCGCTAACCGGGTAAGAGTCGTCACCCTCATCTGCCGGATAAGACTCTCGGTCCTTGCCATCGCTCTTACCAGATTCTTGGTTCTTGACACGTTAACCCGTTAAGGTAAATGACCAGGTAGACGTTTGGTAAACGGCCCCTTGATATCATTTCCTTGTGTTCATTTGAATTTGATCATCTTTTTGGGTAAAATGTAGAGTCTTGGAGGTAGGATTTTAGAAGGATAATAAGGTTCAAGTTTTCATTTGTTTTCTTCAGGTTCATATTTTATGAATTCTATTTGTGAAGGTCTTGAAATGTAACCGGGAAACTGTAACCTTTCTTTAATCATAGAGTGGGGAGGCCCCTCCAATCAAGAAGAGAAACTGTAACATTTAAATGGCCTAACCGGTTAACCGGTCAGGTCATGTCAGGTCGGTCCTTACTCCCAATCCTTGCCCCCAGTTCCTCTTTCTTTTTCTAATTTTATTATTTTATATTAATTTAATTTGTTTTACAGTGTTATTCAAAACACTAATACATACAAGTGTGTGTACATTTGTATATATATGCCGTCTTAGGGCATGTTTTGGAAAACGTCGTGATCTTATAGTAACTCGTAAGGTTTAAGGTTTGACCTCTTCGTAATGTCATGTCTTACGTTATTTAAAACCTTGCTTATGATCAATTAAATAGGGACCATTTAGAACCGATAAATGGTTCAGGTTTAAAAAAATGATAAAATAAATAATATTTAAAAAAGGATAAAATGTAAAGGATATAGATTTTAAAATAGAATTATGTTTTATTCTGAGGGTATATTAATAAAATATAAATTTATTTCATCTTGTTTTTGTTTGTTTTACATGAAAGTATGTCAAATGTGGAATCATAATTCATGTTTTGTTTAGTTCTGTCAATATTCAGCGTATCAAATATACCAATAATACCCTAACGGCACGTTTTTCGTTGTTAATAACCCTAAGAGCGGAATCCGGGTTAAGAACAATCACAAACTTAGATTGCGTTGCAGATCTAGAAGAAAGAGAAGAGATCATCAAAAGATGGTCAACATAAATTTCATTAATCATCCAGACTAATCCGGAAGATTTTGAAACGACAAAAGCCGTTTTAACGCTTGTTGAACATAAAACCTGAAGAAAATTGATCTTTATTTGCAAAAGATTAATTCTCTTTGAAAGGATTATTTTAGATTTTAAATTGTCGTTTAAAACATTTAAAATGTAAAAATAAACTTTTCTTTTGTAGCTATTGAAGATTCAATCTTCGAGATACCGCTGGAAATCTCAGTGATTGTTTTTGCCGATGCCATCTCTATTTCGGAGACACATAGGCTACTCATTTTCATGAGTTCTTCGACAAGATGCTATTAAGCAAAGTTGGATCGAGGTCATAGACGACTCCAACTATTTGAAAAGGTTAAAAAACGATTTTGATCAAAAGATCTACTGATAAATCAGTCTTATTTTCACTAACGACAAGGTCATTATCGTTTTTGAAAACGTATTTCGTCGTAGAACGACGGATTTGCTGAATAATCAGCTTTATTACTATGTCTCTAACCTCCCCCTCTCTTTTTGTAGGTGAAGTTTTTGATGAAGAAGTCGTGAGGATCCTCTTCATTTATAGGGCTCGTGAGCACCCTACACAACCCATTATTGGACAGAATCTGCAAAAAGATAATTATTTCAAGCTGCGATGTGGCAACCATCCATTGGGTGACGGATTATTCATTTTTAAGTCCCTATTTATTTATTTATTCCCAAAACGTCATTTTTCCCCTCTAAATAAGAATGTTTATGCTTATTTTCACACCATTCTCTTTTATCTCTCAAGCTCACATTACAATTTGTTATTTGGGTTTTCCATATACTTGTGATTTCGAATTTCGGTTTCGACGAATTTCCGTTACGAGATTATTCCGTTCCAACTTCCAATTTCAATCGAGATCGATGATTCTCAAGTCGAGCGTTCGGTTCTCAAATATATTACCGAAGTAATTACCGACCATAACCGGAAAAACCTGATGCAACGTTAGATTTGGCAATTTCGTCACAAAGGCTCATGTAACAATTGTGGTGAACTTATGACGAAAGGAAATTTCACGTTAAAAACGTCATATGAAAAAAAATCTTGCGTAGCATTGAAAAGCATGGATTCATCGCAAACGCAATCTCTCAGATTCTACAAGTGACTGCAAAACTAGAGTACTATAAAGTTTCCGAAATATGTTTCCATTGTTGCCATCCGTACAACTTACAGCGATCTTCGTCAAAATGCCAGAGCCTTTTCGGATGGATCTCGAATAAAAAAAAACAGCATTTTCAGTAAGGAAAAAACGTCATCAAACGCGTCATCTGTTATCTAATATTACTACTACAAATACATGGCATAGGGCGTCGTTCATAGAATCTTGTGTTTGCGCTCTAACGCATTCGTGATCCTTGTAATGCAGTATGCTGCACTTAACGGATATCCAGAAACTGCAAAAAGTACACCGTTCAATATATATTAGAACGACCATAATCATTTGTCTCAACTCAATTTACATACAAAAAACTTCGTTAAATTTAAACAATATGTTTCTATTTTAGTCTGTCATCACTTTCAGAAGGAAGAGCGTATTTTTCAAATATATCATTAATTATGAGATAAGAATTCATTACCCCCTATAGTGTTGAGGGTAAAATTGTCCTTTAGTTCTTTAAAAAAATGTAACGATTACACATTTTTAAAACTGTCTTTTCATTGTGGACAGTTATTTTCAGACAAAAAGATTAACATCTAGCGGGAAATGAGTTGGGCATGCCGAATCAGTGGTGGAAGGTTTGGGATTCGACTTCAGACACCACCCACCCGCTCTTACGACACACGGTTTACCTCCCCATGATGATTGTGGGACCAGTATGATGGGGGCGCTACACAGGGTGGTGTCATACTCTCTTGCGGAAAACAAAACTTGCAAGAGAGCCTACTTCGAGGAAAACTTGTGATGCTTTATTTATTTTTTACCTCTAGAATGTTGATTTTTATCCTATGTTCTATTTTCAAAACCTAATGAGATTATGGGGCTGTTTAGCAATTGCTGAATGGTTTGGTGCAGAATGATTAAGTGGTCAGAATGATTAAGAGGCTCATAATATAGTGCAAAATGAAATATAATTGTTTGGTAATTGTATACAATGACATCTGGGCTCTTAATGGTTAAGAGAGATCCATGATACAAAATCATCAGAGAGTTTTAGAACCATTAAAAGGTAGACGTTTTTTTTGCCAAACAAGATTCAGCTCTTAAAGATTCAGAGGTTGCCTCTTAATGGAACTATTAAGAGGTAAACAAACAACCCCTTTGATTACAAATAGTAGAGTAATTGCTTCTGTAAGACCCCCCGGGGGCGGCTTTTCACAAGAACCAGCATCTAAAGCAGGTGTAGAAGTTCAAATCTAATGAAAATATAGAATCAACTTACTTGAAATATAATCCTCTACGAAGTCATTCTCGATTTTACCATGAGCCATTGCACCAACCTGACCATAGATATGTTACGTAAGTTATTGTTTTCCAAATCCGATGGTCCAAAGGGTCTATTAACTCGTTTTCAAATAAAAACCAAATCGACATCATGTATATATTTACATACCACAAAAACAAGTGTTGCATCTTTGTCCAATGTCGCCACATAATCATGCATATCAACCAACTTTTCCGAACTATGCGAAAAGCCTGGTCCACAAAACAAAATTAAAATCTGTAAGCCCTTCATCCCATTAAAATCAAGAGACGGTGAGCGTAATTATCAATCAGACGGCAAGATCGAGATATGATTGCGAACCTATCTTGCGAGAATTAACCGGAAGATACTGGGTTACGGGATTCTTGATGACCCGCATAAGCTTTTCCCGTTTTCCAACGGTGGAAATACTTAGTTTTTGAAGCAATTGCACTGAAAGTATCAAGAGAGTCAAATATGAGAAAAAATGGCGATGTTATCGAGCGAATTGTAGGATTTGCTTCTGCTACAATCCATTGAACTTACACATGATCCCGGCAAAACGTTTAAATGTCCTTGGAATACGAACATGAGGTTTGATTTCAAAAAGTACGCCTTTCTCGGTTCTCACATACAAAGCTTTTAGCCTACCGGCTTTATTCAGTGGGCTATCCAAGATATTCAATATTGCCTGCACCAAACAAATAATTTGTCCAAATTCAAAGCCAAAAACAAAAAGACCTTCAAATGAAGTATTGTAAATAATATTGGTAATAACATTTATATGGGTTTCATTTGATTATTCCCTATGTATGTATGTGCGCGTGTGTGTGTGTGTATATATATATATATGTATGTGCGTGTGCGTGTGCGTGTGTGTGTGTATATATATCACTCATACACACACAAGCATAACATGTAAGTTTTACTTTTACTTTTGAACCCGAGTTTCTAGTTTTGAATTTATCAAATTTCATCTCTCCGTTTCTTTGATAAGAGGATGAACGTCTCCCACTAGTATGCTCTCATCTTTCCAGTCAACAATTTAGCGATACAACCAAAGCCACATGTTCAAATTATCCGCTCTAAACTTATTTGACAACCCAAAACAAAAACAAATGAGAACATCGTATATGAAATAAAAAAGTTAAATGTCACGGGGATGTTGAAATCTACTTACACAACTAACTTTCTAAAAATAAACTCTACACGATATGTATGACAACCCAAAAAAGAACATCAATGTCAATGAAATGCTTCACAAAACTTCAAACCATACCAAATTCTCGACAAAAAGTCAAAAGCAATTCCAAGATGACTAACCTGATGAGAAATGTCGGGTCTATACTCAGCCGGATTCCGGTTATTTTTCCTCAAAAAATTGGCATGATCCTCTGAGTTCAACAATTGATAACTCTGAACAAACACATACACAAATAACACACATCAATACAACGTGACAGTAGAAATCAAAATCCATTACAACAAAAGCTGAAAAGGGTAAAAAAGGCCATAAAAAGTTCGTTGTTCTAAATTCCAAAAGAGCCCATATTCAAACTTTGCGTTCAATTAAACCATTTCCACTCCAAAAAGGTGAAACCGATAGATCAAGACTCCTTTGCTTCGCAAAGAGCCAGAAAGCAAAGTCCCTTTACGATCATTCTCTTGCATTTTGCAAAGAGGTTATTCCAATCACTCAAATTCTTGACATTCCAGTCATAAAAGAGTAATCTTGACGGTTGTTCTAAAACGACTGTAATTTCCGTTCACGTTCTAAAATAATATTAAAATACTATAAAACACACCCCCTACTCCACAGTTATGATCCACTTTCAAGAAATATTCTGAGAATTAAGCATACATGTCATGAACAATAAGCATGAAGAGTCTACATGTGCCACTTTACGCTGTATAAGATCCTTCATTGAACATAACATGAACTCGTAAAAGTTTTTGTTACAATCTTTGAACTAGTTGTTAAAAGTCTAAAATGCCCTCCAAGACATTAGCATCAGATTGATATGATAGATTCTACCTCAAAGATTTATCAAAACAGATGTAACATTCGCAATTCCCATTGAACATTTGTTGCAAATTTCATGAGAACAAGAACAAGCAAATCACAAATAAACACCAGAAAATCCAAAGATTTGAGAAAACCAAACCTTTCCCACTTTTGCAACTTCCAAAGAAGCCTTCTCAAGGATGAAAATAACACCAGGGGTGTTCATGTCATTTCCCACCTGCTCATTCAGATTTACTGGAATACCTGCAAGTTCTTGTACTGCTGCTTCTGCTTTCTCCTCGTCTGATTCAGTAACCCCACCCTTCAATTTCTTCTGGGCTCCATCCTTTTCCCCTTCTCCTCCTTCTTCTTCCTCTTCAACAAACCCTACATTGTCTTCTTCATCTTCTTCCTTATCGTATCTTTCTGTTTTGTTCTTCTTCCTCTTACGCCCCTTAATTGCATACGGTCTCACCATTTTCTACGATTCAGTAAGAACAATTTCTCTTTTCACGATAATGGGTATTCAAATTAGAATGAAATTGCAGCATAAAAAGCCACAGATTGTTTAAACACAGAGTAACATACTCATTAGTTAATACATAAACAATCAGAAAATCGATGCAACTTACAGGAAGCATTGAACAATCGATGTAAAATCACAGAAAATCAGAAAAGTGTCGACTGTTGTGTACAACTATTGAACAAAATCTGGAAGCAAAAGAAGAAATCGACGTAACTTACAGGTTTAGATTCGAGGCAAATAGAAACCAAAGAAGCACCTTGCAGAATCGAAACCTGTTGGTGAAGCAAAGATGAAAACGAAAGAAAAATGGAAACCTGTGAACCGAAGAAGAAGAAACCCACAAGAAAAATCGAAACCTTGAACTGAAGAAGCAATCGAAAGCTATGAAGCAAAGAAAAATCGAAACCTGTGAAGCAAACGATAAGAAGAAATCAATATAGGTCAGGGAAGAAAGGATACTGTCTTAGCTGCTGCTAATATGACTCCGAGTCTCCGAGACACGGGTTTATTGGCCTGGCCCAATTCCGACCCAATAAAGTTGGTGTGGCTAATTTTTTATCGATCATGTTCTGGGTTACGCTCGGATTGGGTTTTTTGGATTTTTTCGGGTTGGATTTATCAAGTTGGTCGGGTTTTTGAACGCTTCTAATAAGCATGGATAAGTAGGGCTGTAAACGAACCGAATGTTTAGTGAACCGTTTGACGGGAAATTCGTTTATGTTTCTTTATTTAATAAATGAATGAACATGAACAAGTTTTTTTGTTCGTTTAGTTAAACGAACATGAACAAGAGTCTCGTTCGTTCATTTATGTTCATGAACGTTCGTTTGTTTACCGTTCATTTATATTCGTTCGTTTAAATACTAAATTTAATATATAATAATATTTTATTTATTTACTTTGAATTCAAATAATATTTATTTATGTTCGTTTAGCCCGTTCGTTTATGTTCGTTTAGCATGTTAACAAACGAACATAAACGAACACGAACACACCAGATGTCTAAACGAACGAATACGAACACAAAGATTTTCGTTCGTTTACCGTTCGTGTTCGTTCGTTTGTTCGTTTAAGTTAAACAAACGAACATGAGCAAGCCTCCGTTCGTGTTCGTTCGATTCGTTTACAACCCTACGGATAAGAAAAGGGATAAGTCTCGATATCAAAGTCACAAACAAAATTGGACGTGTTTTTATCAATACCATGTCATTTTAATGTGTTTTTATGCAATGTTTACACATAAAATAGTTTCATATTCACATTTCACATATATACATGTGTGTGTATATATATATATATATATATATATATATATGTGTGTGTGTGTATATATGTATGTATATATATACACATACAATGGGAGGTTCGACCGTCAAGTGAGAACCCGCCTGTCAAAGACCTTCCAGCCTAGTGGTAAAGGCTTGGGCATGGCATAGTCATGAACCCGAGTTCGAGCCCTGGGAGGGGAGTGTTGGCGACATTTAAGTGGGGCCATGTTTAGCCTCCAAAATTGCCGGAGATTAGTCGGGCTTTGGCCCAGACACCCTTAAAAAAAAAGCAAGAACCCGCCCTCCAAAAAAAATATCTCATCAATCGAACATAGATGGTTTAGATTCAAATGTAACCATCTCTACAAAACTTCAGTTTTGGTAAAATATATAACTGTCTCTATCATCCACAATCATTAGATTAAAAATAGATGGATGGTTCAGATAGGTTCCCTTCTTCTTATGAGGCATTTGGTAAATTTAAAGGAATATAAATGAAAATGGACGGGAACGAAGAAGAGTCAGAATAGAAATACAATTTGCATTTCCCCCAATTCGGTATGTATGGAAATCAACGGGTATGTGGTAATGGACCCACTGTATTATATCAAATCAAACCGTTTTTATTCACCATTCTCGTTCCTTACCCCCTCGATACCTTATTTTTTTTAGTCTTCTTAACATAAATTGAGGAAAAAGTTATGGGGCTAAATTAGAAATTAAAATAAAATTGAGGGGGTATACTTAAATTTGTTTGTTTTATCAAATAAACCCCATTAGAACCTGTTTTGCGAGTTCAAACGTTGTTAAAACCATGCAGCCACCACCACCGCTTCAACTCTGCTACTCTTGGCTCTAAGGTAATATTCCCTAGCTTTCATCCCTTCTTATGAACGTGGGTTTGCTAGAATTTCTGCTTTTTACGGTGTCTATTTAAACAATTTGTGGCTTTATATGCTGCAATATTACACTAATTTTGATGAATGCCGAGTCCACCAAATATAAGTTCCAACTATTGGCCAATAACAACCAAGATTGTAATAGCGGTAAGTCGGGTCGAATCCACATGGACTCAATTTTTTAACTTATTATTGCCAAATAATTCACGTACACAAACGGATAATTAAAAGTAAATATGAGGAGGTGGATTTGATTAATTAAACTAAGCATGCAATTATAGTGGATTAGAAAAGTAATATAAAAAACCCAACCACAAGGGTGGTGTCTGATTGGTTTGAGTTTGGCTCCAAAGGTCAAAAGTACCAGGAGGTCTCATGTTCAAATCCAAGGAAGAATAAAAATCCCCTTGTGACCACGGAGGTTCAAATACGGTAACTCCGGGCTATCTGCAAAGCAGGTGGTCGTAATGAGATTAATCGGCTCACATAACGGGTTGGATATCCAGGTTAATAAAAAAAAGTAATATAAAAAACCCAACAATGGGTCACTATCGATTATAACGTAAAATAGCAAAACAAATCCAAATTGGTTATAGTTATCAACAAGCTCTAATAACATGAATTTTTCCTTAGGGTCTGTTTACTAACCACTTACCACCTCTTATCAGGTAAGAGACTCTTACCACGATAAGAGGTGACATGTTCAGCAAAAAAAAAGATCACCTATGACCAGGACTTTGTGTTGACCACACATCTAACTGGAATAAGAGACAAAAAACATACTTACCACACTCAGTGATTGATTTTTCGTATATACCGCTCCCTCAGATTTGCGGTTCCCCTCTCTAAAACGTACCCCTCAACCTGTTTTTTTTCTGGTGTACTCTCTTGGTATTTCCACATTACCATTTCCCTACCTTACAAAGTTTCTTGAGGTGAACTACAAGAGTGGTTCCTGATTGGTTTGAGCTTGACTCCAAAGATCAAAATTATCAGGAGATCCTAGGTTCAAATTCAAGGAGAAATAAAAATCCCCTTGTGGCTACAGATGTTCAAATGCAATGACTGTGGGCTATCTGCAAAGCAGGTGGTCGTCATGGGATTAGTCGGCTCGCATAGCGGGTTGGATATCCAGGTTAATAAAAAAAAGTTTCTTGAGGTGTAAAAGAAAATGGCAACCATTTGCTGGTGTACTGGCCCAACCTAAGCCGATTGCAACAACAAGGAAAGAAAAAGAAGTTGGTATCAGTAAGCATTGAAGGAAACTTTGATTAAACTGAAGGGTCTACAGCCTAAAAGCGTGAGACGTTGGAGAGCATTCGGAAGATGGAGAATGGTGTTCTGAAAGTGGTACGTTCAGTTATTTATGCTTGACGAAGACGAAAGTGATAGAAGAAATCAAAATACATTCAACAAAATATGAAAACCAACATCCATCGATACAAACTCGTTGGACATGAAGAGAGACGATGAACAATAAGGGTAAAAAATCACCATTTATATTCAAATGTGATGACCCCGGGCAAACAAGTGGTCGTCCTTGGATTAGTCGGTTCGCATAGCAGATTGGATATCCAGGTTAATAAAAAAAAACTGGTAAAAGAAAAGATGAGATTGAGAGCCATCCATGCTCTAACACACTCCATGTTTGGCCATGGGTTCCACTTGAATTAAAAAAAACTAATAATTAAATGTGATATTTTATTATTAATCCGGATATTATCCAACCCGTTATACAAGCTGACTAATCGTAGGACGACCACCGTCACCGCATTTGAACCTATGTGGCCATAAGAGGATTTTTTATTATTGCATTGGATTCAAACATGGGACCTCCAGATATTTGTAGTCCAAATTCAAATCAATCAAATCTCATCCTTATGGTTTAAATGTAATTTTAATATACATATAGAAAATAAGATTGCAAGGAGACTTTTACCGATTCCTAAACAGGGTAAACACTTTTAGAGCGGGATTACATAAGCAGCGTGTCACCCACTACACGAAGACAAAGGGCGATCAACTTGGCCATGGCCCTCACCTCCTATAACCTAATCCATCGTTTCTTTCGTTTACTCCCAAATACCCGATTTGGACGCTCCTCTATCCCTAGGGTTTCAAAAACCTCTCTTATATACTCCTAGATTTTCAACCCTTTGATTGTTTCTGAGTCAAAATTATCCAAGAAACATTCAAATCTCACGCTATCTGTGTAAGTCAAGTCGTAATTCTCTTTTAGATTCCTTTATGCAGCTGCACTCAAAGTGTTTGTGGAAAAACCTCAATTAAGCAAATTAGGGTTTCTGGGTAACAAGGAAACAGAATTGGGGACTTTGTTTCTTGTTTACCGTCTCAAATTCCAAGTGGGGTTGAAGTTGATTTGATCCAGAGTTTGTGCCAAGAAACAGGTGTGTTCATTTTCTCGCTTGCTTATAGTTCTAGGGTTTCATTTCTTGGTTTCGTATTGTAATTCAATTTCAAGAAATCTTGGTTCCAGTGATCTTTAGAGAAGGTGGTAATTTGGGTATTATATGGGAATCGAAATGAATTGAGATTTTGAGGGTTTCTTGTTTGATAATTGGGAGAAAAGTTTGATTTTCCGATCAAAATGGATAATTCTGATTATTCAAGAAATAGGCACAACGAGCATTTGGGTGTGAACAAAATTGGGAAAAATATCAGAAAGAGTCCTTTGCACCAACCTAATTTTCCCAATCCAGGTAGGCAACAACCTCAACCCCAGGTTTATAACATCAACAAAAACGATTTTCAAAGTATTGTTCAACAGCTTACTGGTTCGCCTTCACGCCATTCCCAGGAACCACTTCCTAGACCACCCATGAACTCACCTAAGCCACCTAGTATGCGGTTGCAACGTATTCGACCGTCGCCTTTAACGCCGCTAAATATAAACCGACCCCAAATGCCCATTCACCATCGTCCACCTAGTGGTGCAGTTCCTTACAATGGTAATCTTGCTAGACCTCCCCATCATGATCAACCACGGTTGCCAGCTATGGCGGCACCACCACCACCCATGGCTCCTGGGGATCATACAGGGTGGGCGGCAAACACCGTGGAGTCTCAGTCTCCTATCTCTGCCTATATGCGCTACCTTCAGCATTCCATTGTTGATTCAGCTCAAGGACGTCCACAAATTCATCCTCAGTATCAGCAAAATCCTCAAGGTCAAAGTCAAATGCAGGGTGGTCAGCAGCAGCAGCAGCAATCATCTGGATTGCTTCCTTATCCCCTTGTGCCGCCACTTCCATCTCCCCGGATGAACGGTCCTCCTCCACTTCCATCTCCACGGATGAACGGTCCTCCGCCACTTCCATCACCGCGGATGAATGGTGCTGCCGCCCCTCCTCTTCCACCTTTTCCGTCGCCAAGAATGGGCGGCCCTTCGCCCCTACCATCACCCACTTCTCAGTTTCTTCTGCCATCACCATCTGGTTACTTAAATCTCCTGTCTCCTCGATCACCATATCCACCACTTTCTCCTGGCTACCAGCATCCACCACCATTAACACCAAATTTTTCATTTTCACCCATGGCTCAATCAGGTCTCTTCGGCCCTGGATCTCAACCTCCACCTTCTCCCGGCATGAACTTTCCTTTATCTCCAGGGTTTTTCTCTATTTCAAGTCCGAGATGGAGGGACTAGATGGATAACATCAGAAAGACGCTAACTTTATCGTTGCAACACCTTAACGTAAGGTACATTGGCTGTAAAATAGTCTCTTCGAATTGGGTTTTTGTTTTTCTGTTGCTTTTATAGGTTATAAACCTTGAAATTCGAATGCTTGTTTAGGATATATATAGTTGGTATCAGGGATCATCTGTTTATTACTTGAACAACTTTTACATCAGGTGTTCAGTGACATTCAAGAACATATCTGAAATCTAGATGCTTGACCAGAAAATGTAGTCGAGTTATCATCAACATTGAATTTGTTATGTTGGTCGTCTGATGGGGATTCGCTACCGTTTTTTAAATACCGTTAAATGTACTTCAAATTGCTGCTCCTTTTTAGTCTACAGGTTTATTGCTAGATATGCTTATATGGTTATTGGATTCTGTTTCTTTTGTGATGCTTATTGAGCTATCTCCTTTTATATGAACCTTGATGAAATATGTTCATGGTTATGATGTATGTGATGGTCATGATGGGGCTTTGTCAAATGGGCAATAAGAACTGAAACCAATTGTTATGCATAATCATTTACAAACCAATTTTCATGTGTTGTTTCACATACGTGCGAAAATGCAGTGTTCATAGAGTGTTGTTTCAGATGTGAAACATTCATGACTGATATGTACGTGGAGAAAGAGTTTTGAACGTTTCACATATGAAACAACATTGTATAAACAATGCATTTTGACTTGTGTGGTTTCATATATGAAACTGGTTTGTAAGTTCGTACGAGTTATTGGGTTTGTAAAAGAAGGGGACTCTTGTTATTTATATCACGTTATTAGTTGTCAAATTGAGCACTTAGTTCGTTTTTTTGCTGCATGTTGATTACTGTTATTGTGGCTAGATGGGTAACGTTAGACAACGAAAATATCACTCTTAACATAAGGTACATTGGAGTGTTATTTTTGGCTCGTGTTTTTAGTTAATGTAGAGATGTAGGGAGTCCATTGGAGATGTTCTATGACAATTTTCAACCCGCACATCTAGGAATGGTAACGAGTCGGGTTTGGGCCGGTTATTGGTATCCCCGTCACCAAAACCGATAATGAAAACCGTCTTCGAAACCGCCCTGATCCTGGTCAGGTCCCCATGGTTTTCCTGATCCCTGTTGGGTAACCCTTTAAGGGTAAAAATTCTTTTTTTCCCATTGGTTTCCCTGTTCACCATTGGTTATAATCGAACCCCGAAACGATCTGAATAAATTACAATATGTTAATTTTCACAACTAAAAGTAAATTACAGTTTTTTTAAAGGCGTAAGTCTAAATATCTCTAACATAATCAAACCAATTACAAACAATATCTTAGATTACAATGTAAAAGTAAACAAAAATTCAAACATCATATAATTAACATCACAATTTCACGATTAGATAAATAAAATTAAACTTTTTCGTAAGCCTTATTTGGAGTGTTAAGCTAAAGTGGATAAAAGTCATTTAAATTTTAGTGTAAGTATTTTCTTGCAATAATATATCTCTCACACACACACATATATATGTATGCATATAAATTAAAATTAAAATTAATATACATATATATATATATATATATATGTATATATACGTTAAAATCCCCAAATATGTCTCCGATCCCCGCCCTACCCTCGATAAGATGTCCCCGACTCAAAAGTTTCGGTTTTCACTATCGGTTTCAGATTTTTTTGGTCGTCTCTACGCACATCTAAAAACACAAAATGTGGTCCATCCCCATTAAAACACAAAACTTTTCCAACCACGTATTAAAACACAAAATTCTAAAAGCCAATATACACAATTTTTACAGGCCACGTAGTAAGATTCTAAATGACGTGAGGCTTGGCATGATGACGAGGTCAAGCTTCAAGTCTTACGAGTTATGACGAGATCACAACCTTTTCCAAAGCGTATCCTAGGCGGCAATATGTATGTATGTATGTATGTAAGTATGTATATAAATATAGACAAACAATACTTGCGTGTGTTAGTGTTTTAACTAATAATAAAACTAAAAATAAAAATATATAAAGATTATAAGAAATGGTATCAGGGTGCAAAATCGGGATTAAATCTTTTGAATCTCAACTCACTACTTTCTTCAATTTACAAAGAAATTCGTGCTCGATTCTTCGTGGATGAGAATGAGAGTAAGTATTTACATATTTAGGTTTTTAGTTATCAAGTTTTCTTTTTATGTTTATTTAAGTCTTACGGCTCGTGCATAATTATCATTTATCCCTCAAATTATATATTAAACCCTCCCACGTCTTACAAAATAATGCGTTGTAACACGTCGTAATGCACCACAACACGTTGTAATTTACCATAACACGTTACAATGGAGCCACAAGGTTAACGTGGTGACGAACCCAAGCCTTGACGCTATAACGCGCCATAACGATTATTTAGAACTATGCCAAGTAGTAGACCACTAAATATTGAGAGGTCCTTCGATTTACAAATGGTAAGTGCTTACTTTTTTTTTTTTTTTTTTTTTTAAGGGTGTCTGGGCCAAAGCCCGACTAATCCCCGGCAAATTTGGAGGCTAAACATGGCCCCACTTAAATGTCGCCAACACTCTCCTCCCAGGGCTCGAACTCGGGTTCATGACTATGCCATGCCTAAGCCTTTACCACTAGGCTGGAAGGTCTTTGACGGTAAGTGCTTACTTGGTAGGTGCTTACCCAATAAATTTCCTTACCGGATGAACATGACAAGGACCAAGAATTTTATCAGGTAAGGCGATGAGAATGATGGAGAGTCTTACCCGGTAAGTGAAGATTATCACTCTTACCCATGTAAGCGCTTACCCGGTAAATTGTTGCATTTAATATGTTTTGATGTACTAAAATCTTACTTATCAAAATCTTGCATTTAATAAGCATTTAGGTAAATAGCCCTTTAGTGATGGATTAGAACAAACATGACCTCCATTTTAACCTTTTAGTGAAAGGTTAGAGATAACCGATCCTAAGGGGATATTTGGTTTGGTTTGATGTAATGGTTTTAAGGTATTTGTTTTGGTTTGATGTGATGATTATGTTATTGGAATCTTTGTTGTGTTTGGTTTATAGGATTTGAAATTAAATTGAATTTCAATCTTTATAAATAAATTATAAGAAAATAATTAAATATCTTTTATTAATTTATTATTACAAAATAAATATTTTAATATTAAAATATTATTACATACAAATCCTATGAAATCCTGTAAAATACCAACCATTTTCGTAGGATTTCAAAATCATATATTTGTGGTATTTCAAATCCATGAAATCATACAAACCGAACATGAAATTATAATGAAATCTTATTTCAAATCAAACATAACTTAAGAGTGACCGAAATGATGGGTTTTTGGTTTTGCCACCTTAAAATATGTCCAACAGATATCTCCAAAAATTTAGACTCCAAAAAACAAAGGTGATGTCTGATTGATTTGAGTTTGGACTCCAAAGGTCAAAAGTGTCTGGAGGTTCCCGATTCAAATCTAAGGAGAAATAAAAATCTTCTTGTGGCTACAGAGGTTCAAATACGGTGACTTCGGACTATTTGCAAAGCAGGTGGTCATCCTGAGATTAGTCGGCTCGTATAACAAATTGGATATCCAGGTTAATAAAAAAAATGTATCGAACATAATTTAAAAATAAATATAAGAAGTGGGTTGAAAATGCTTTAAATGGCATAATTGTCATGATTCGATGATTTCCATTTCGATTATCTTAATAAAAACAGTCATGAAATCTAAGAAAAATAGACACAAAGAACTCCACAATAAATAACAAACTCGATTAATGATCAATTGATAACAGTCACCATCTTATCCTCTATTATACATATATATATATATACATATATATATATATATATATAGAGGAATGTTATTCTACACTCTTTGCCATTCCTACACCCTATACAACCTTCATCTCAACCATTCAATTTTTAATCAATTAATTATTTCCTAATATAAAGTATTAATCATAATTAATAAACTCTATTCATATTCCATAAATATTCAAATCATAATAAATGAACTCCAATCATTTCTATAAATATATCAATTAATTGGGTTGCAAAGGTTGTACAAATGCACAAGGTTGTAAAAGAAATATACCCTATATATATATGTATATATATATGTATATATATATATATAAACTTGGGATCATGTGAGATCAATGATTTTTCGTGAGACCCGTAAGACCAATTCTCAACCCTTGGATTAGATTTACAATCGTCAGATCTGAACATTTATAAACGCCACGAGACTTCTCACTAATTACGAAATTGCCACCTTGCAACTTTGCAACCATTAGATCATTAATTCATAAATTTGATCAATGAACATAAATTGGTCTTACAGGTCTTACGTGAACCCAACCCTCTCTCTCTCCCTATATATATATATAAATATATATAAATGTTCACTCAATGGAGAACTGATTAATTTGTGGTAACCGTGAGATTAAATGTGAACCACTCATTTGAGATATTTAAGGATATTTCTTAAATAAACTAAAATAGTAATGTAGTAATTTTATTTTAACAACTAATTAAGATATTTAATTATTTTTTTAGAAGAAAATATTTAATTAAAATTAGTTACCTAATATATCAATTACCTAATATATATCGTATTTTAAAGACATTTATGAATCAAAGTGTATCATGGTGATAATGTTCATAATGTTTCACGGTTACCACAAACAAAACAATTCTCATTTGACTAGAACCTTATATATATATAACATAAATATATAAAAATAGAACTCTCTAGTTGTTTCAAGAATATATATATATATATATATATATATATATTTGAATTAAAATAAAAACCAACTTTAAATAAAAAATTAAAAAAAATTATTCTGCTGACCTACTTTTATTTATATATTGCACTGTCTTGGCCCACATAAAAAAACTCTAGCAAATAGCGTAAATATTCGCCTAACCTATTTATATTTATTTATATTTAGCTTTACGGCTGTTTGGATCTATTCATATCTCAATATTGTAATTAGGTTTGTCATTTTTATATCAAATTAATATACGTAGGGCTGTAAACGAACCGAATGAATACAAATAGAAATTTGTTCATGTTTGTTCGTTTAACTTAATCGAATAAACGAACGAACACGAACAATAAACAAACGAAAATCTTTGTGTTCGTGTTTGTATTCTTTCGTTTAAAAATTAGGTGTGTTCGTGTTCGTTTATGTTCGTTCGTTAACATATTAAATGAACGTAAACGAACGAACATAAACGAACGGGTTAAACGAACATAAATATATATTATTTGAATTCAAAGTAAATAAATAAAAGATTATACATTAAATTTAATATATAAACGAACGGTAAATGAACGAACGAGAATCTTGTTCATGTTCGTTCGTTTAACTAAATGAACAACAAAAATTGTTCATGTTCATTTATTTATTAAATAAACGAACATAAACGAACTTTCTGCCGAACGGTTCACGAACGATTCGCTGAACGTTCGGTTCATTTACAACCCTAAACATATGTATCAACGTATTAATTAAATGGGTATTAATTATAGTTGGTTGAGAACATCGTACCAAGTATAAAAAATCTAAACTTGATTGTTATACAGTATCGAAAGTCTCGTACTACAATGTACCATAATACCTACACATTTCATTATTTATTATTTTATTAGTTTTTATATATTTTTTTTATGTATTAAATGTTGTAATTTTAACTATTTTGTTTGAACATTTAAATATTTACAACTTTTATTTTTTTTATATTTAAATTTAAATAGTAATAAAACATAATCGGTAAGTATTTAACAGTAAAATTTAACACTATTACTTACTTATCATGTAGGATTTTAGTCAACAAAACAACATCGCATGCAAAAATACCCGGTAAGCGTTAACCGTTGTAAAAATCATCGCCCTCACTCACCGAGTAAACCTCTCGGTCCTTGCATCTCTCTTACCAAGTAAGATTCTTGTCATATTCACCCGGTAAGATAATGTTACTTGGTTAATGCTCACTCTGATAAGCGTATAGAAATCAAGTATGTTTGTGTTCGTTCATTAACATGCTAAACGAACGTAAATGAACAAACGGACTAAACGAACATAAACGAATCATGAAAAGGTAAAAAGTTCAAATAAGACAAAATGATAAAATTTAAATCTAAATAAATTTTAAAAAGCTAAAACTTAAATAAATATTATTTGAATTCAAACTAAATAAATAAAAATTATATATTAAATTTTAATATATAAACAAACATAAACGAACGAACATTCACAAACATAAATGAACGAACGAGACATAAAAAAATTTGTTCATGTTTGTTCATTTATTAAATAAACGAACTTCACACTGAACGGTTCGATGAACGTTCAGTTCCTCTACAGCCCTACATGCAATGAACTTCAGTTGAGCTAGTTAAAGGGATGATGCCAAAACCTTCAAAATATTCAACGACAAAACGGACACTGAGACGAGTGTTCAAATCATCTTCTGGCGGGTCCCTTACCAAAGTTCAATCTCGTCATGATGTCGAACTAGCGTCTACAAAACCTACAATCTTTACTGTCATTGGTGCATTGAACCAAAATTTATGTCGTCATTGGTGCATTGAACCACTATATATCTATATCGAACTTCTATCAAACTGCTATCGAGATGGACAGGTCTCGCCTAAGGGGTTTGGAGTCAGGGACGGACCCATAATTTTTTCAAACGGTGACATCATTTGACTATAAAAAAACATATATCAAATGGTGGCACTATTTGACTATAAAAAACAAATATACAATTTTTTTTTTCAAACGATTACACCATTTGACTAAGAAAATGACACTAACAGGTTTCGAACTTGGGTCTGAGGTGAAATAAAAGCCTTGTAAACCAACTCTTACCAAATAAAACTTGTTTTCATTGTAGTTTCAAAATACATACGGTGACACACAACAAATTAATACGGTTGCACCTTTCACGTTTCGACGGAGGAATAATACGGTGGAGTTCGAGTGATAGAGATTTCGAGTTTTTAAAGGGTGAGAAAAAAGCCATATAGAGTTATTTTGGGAAGATTTTAATGAAAAAAATGAAACGTATTTTTTTATATGATCGTAATATAAAATTCAAATTTTCGTTTTTATAATTAAGTGATTTAATTGAATCCTTTTTCAAATTAAATCGTAATTTGTATATTTATTATAACAAAATCGGGTTTATAAGACACTCCCAGATTCTAAGTGTTTTAATATACCTTTTTATAAGACTTAGTTTATAGGACCAAAAAATAAAGTGTCATATCTAAAAGCATTGTAATAAGTTTATATGACATTTTTTTAATGTCGTAATAAGCTTTTTATGACACTTTTAATATAAAGCGTCCCATTAGCAACTTTATAGAACATTATTTGAAAAACTGTCCTATAAAAAATTGAGTTTATAAGATTTTTTTTAAAAATGTTCTATAAAATTGTTAATATGACAATTTGTGGGGGCAATAGATATTGATGGGGACGAGAAGTTAAGTTGGAGTGGGGGCAGTGGGGCGTCTGGTCCGCCAAGCGACAACTGAACCTGAGTGGCAATCATGAGCTCAAGTTAAAATCAAACCATACCTGTTTTTATTTATTTATTTATTTATTATTTAAATTAATATTCGTATAATTATAAAAAATAACATATTTCTTTTTTATTGCATGTTTTTTTTATGGTTTTGTGAAGGATATTCAAAAAATTGATGTTTACGTTTTATTAGAAAAAGTATTTATTAAAAAATGACATATTTTCTTTAAATAAATAAAAACACTAAAAACAAATGTAAAATTATAAATAAAGTGAATTACATATTAGATTCTTATGGTTTGATGAAAATTACAAGCGGTGTCGAGATTATTGTTCTCAAATCCAGATTTTAAAACGCATACAAATGCAGAAGCACAAAATCGATGTGTCGTTGAGGAGTAAAGAAGAAAAGGGTAACAAAACAGGGAATCTCCCTCACATAGACACATGAAAGTTCGGTTGCAAACCCGTTTTTCAGTGTGAATGGAGTACAAAGGAGAGAGTAACGCGTGTCCTCGTGTTTTTAAGTGTGAACAAGATACAAAGGAGAGCGCGACATGTGTCCCATGTTTTTCTGTTCATCATGAAATAATAAAACCCAATTCATCATGAATATGAACATGAACATGGATTTTTTTACAACTTTAAGAATGACTGATACATCATTCATGATTAATATCTGATAAATATCCGGTACACATGGTGTGTTCTCTTTTATCTATGAAGTTCATAGCATAACTTAAATGAAACCAAATTCATAATAAACATAATATAGGGACAATACTTGTAATTTTCACCAAAAGTTGGGTACCAAATTCGTAATTCACTTTTTATTTTGCGAATTTGGTCCTTATGTTTTGCCAAAAGAAATATTAATAGTCCCTATACTCTATTAAATGTGGAATTGGTCCCCATGGTTATCATTGTATTTACGATTATAGTTCTTGAACCTAACGGCCGCCAAACAACCTCTATTAACTCATGGGTAAAATCATCGTCTTTACCCATTTTTTTATTAACTTGGATATCCAACCCATTATGCAAGCCGACTAATCTCAGGTCACCCACCTGCTTTGCAGATAACCCGGAGTCACCGCATTTGAACCTCCGTGGAAACAAAGGGGATTTGTATTCCTCCTTGTATCGTCTTTACCCTTTGTCATATACAAATATTATATATTTTGCTTTTTTAATATTAAATGTGTTCATATATTATTTTCATAAACAAGTATATATGATATATATGCATGTGACAAGATTGCCCCCTCCTTCCTCTTTTTCATTGATAACCATCGCCACAACCCCAAACCTTTACCATTACTGAACCGATCTTCTCCCCTCCCATTTTTTTCCTTTCAACCCTCTTTTCTCACCTCTAATCAACCAACGTTCTTCCTCTGACAACATGTGATACACCCCTCCCCTTATCCGACCAAGACCAACCCTCTTCCTTCACCCAATCCACCCTATTTGAAACACTCACTCGTGAATCCTTTATTTTTAGCTTTGAATTAGATGTTATTGTGAGTTTTCAATGTTTGATTTTGGAACCTATGATCGAATTGCTACATTGGCATTCTAATTGTCAATGAGAAAAGCTCTGATTGGGAATTCGTCAACCTCGAAAATGAACCCCCTTAGGTCTCTAAAATCAACAAGACCAAGGGGGGGGGGGTGTAAGTGCCAGAGTAGAGTAGAAGCATGACGTGAAGAAGAATAAATTTTGGTTCTGGGTGTTGGAAGAAACTCAATTCTGATTTTGCATTTTGTGTATGCGTTTAACGAAAACATAGGACATCATTGCTACCTGAGTTTTAATATTATTTGAATTGTTTGATTTGCATTTAATCTTGGTATACTTCGATTTTGAGGGTGGGCGAGAGGGCAACGAAGGTTGCAGGTGAACTTGGGTCGTCAGAGGGCAAGGGGGCGGGAAAGGGGACACGTAACAACATTTGATTGGGGGTATTAAAGTGTTCTCTAAGCATCAGGTATAAAAGCTAAAATGTCCCTCAATTAACACAATTCTTTCACGTCATTAGTCAAAGGGATCGAGGCCGTAACAAAATAAATACCACTGAGACCAAAACCATAACAAACAAAGTTTAGGGACTATTTGTAACCTTCACCAAAACACAGGGACCAAAACCATAATTCACTCTAAAATAAAAGAGTCCCCGGATCTCGTATACTTCCCCCTTCTCTCTCTCTCTGCCATGGCAGCAGAAAACCAACTCGCGCCGCCGTCGGAGGAAACCTCCACGGCCCACCACCTCTCTGTCCCACCGTGTTTGACCCAGAACGAGTTCGACGAGTTGCACCCGTTTGTAACCGAGTTCCATACCTACCAACTCACATCATCCCGGTGCTCATCCCTACTAGCTCAACGCATCCACGCGCCGTTGGACGTCGTGTGGTCGGTGGTTCGCCGGTTCGATAAGCCGCAGATATACAAACACTTCATCAAGAGCTGCACGGTTGCAGATGGGTTTACAATGACGGTGGGATGCACGCGTGCTGTCGACGTCATATCGGGGTTGCCGGCGGCGACGAGCACGGAGAGGTTAGATGTGATGGATGATGAAAGGCATGTGATATCGTTTACGGTCATTGGCGGTGAGCATAGGCTGAGGAATTATCAGGCGGTGACGACGGTTCATGAGGTTGGTGCTCAGCCGCCTGAGACGGTGGTTTTGGAGTCGTATGTGGTGGATGTGCCGGAAGGGAATACGGAGGAGGACACACGGCTGTTTGCTGATACGGTGGTGAAGTTGAATCTGCAGAAGCTGGCTGCTGTCTCCGAAGCCGCGGCTGGTCGTGACCGCGCCGCCACCACCATGTCTCGCAGGTGATCCTGCTGTTGTGAGGTTTCAAACACCAAAGAAAAAGACAAAAAATCTATTTTCTATTTTCCGAGATTTCCAAATTTTCTATTTTTGTGCAATTTTACGAAAGTACCCTTTTCCTACCCTGGGTTGATATTGTTCCGTTGTTATGTTTGGGGGTGTTTTTGTCCATGTTGATTGTGCAAAGTTTTTCTATTTGATATAAAGATGGGATAAAAAAACTATAAGAGTGGTGTTTGATTGGTTTGAATTTGACTTCAAGGTCAAAAGTATCAGAAGATATCAAGTTCAAATTCAATGAGTAATAAAAATTCTCTTGTGGCCATGAATGTTCAAATGCGGTGACTCTTGGCTATATGCAAAACAAGTGGTCATAATGAGATTAGTCGGTTCGCATAGGAAATTAGATATCCAAGTTAATAAAAAAAAAGATAGGATAAAATCTTCCAACAAATTTTCAAGTCTAAATCCCTATACATCAATTATATAAATATACAATAATTTAAAATTGAATAATATAAATTCAAAATATATAAAATACAATGTGGTTTTTTTTATATAAAATTATATTAAAAGGATAATTGCATGTAGTGAGATACATCTTAATTTTAATGTTAACTTTTATTCTGTCTCTGTTAATATTATAATACGATTTTATGTGGTATTGAAAAAACGATAATGTTTTTATTTTTTGAATAAAATCTGAATTTGAAGATATTATAAAATTTAAAAAAAATGTATTGATTTTAGTATCAAAGTAAATATTGAAAAGTTCTTGTCTTTTTTTTTCTTGTAATTTCTTTAACTCAAATTTTTATTATAATTTAATTTAGATTTAATAATGAAGTTATTTTTTTTAAAATATAATTTTATTATAAAGATAATAATTAGTATTTTGTTAGAATTCAATAATTATCTTAAATATATTTTAGATTTTTTACATTTAAATTAAGATATCTATCCAGTATTTAATTATATTTATATGCAGTTAATTACACGAATTCAAATATGGAGCTTTAATAAGTTGTACTACGCATAATTTACTTATAATATTGAATTTTAAGTAATATGCATCAATAAACAATACTTAATGCATAAATAATGGTTTTTAAAAGTTTTTGTCAAATGTATTATAATATAGTATAAATAATTCGTTACGCATTAAAAAACAAAATGAATTTGTCAAATACTGTAATATTGATTATTATAATTTCTAACAGTAATAACCAATTTTATATGACATTCAAACTCTTCAATAAAATCTCATGTAAGAGATGGTGATAAATCGAATTGGCTTGACTCACGTTAACCCTTTTGCATTCTAATCAAACGGTTTTGGATTTCGATCGAACCATCTTGACAGCTCCTTCGGAATGATCGTTGTGTTTCCATAAAAAGACGGGTATTATTCAGTTTGGATTAAAATCACATGTTTTAAAATTTCATGATCCATTCTCGTTACGTCAATGAAACTGATACATACCTGTTTATTTATTTATTTATTTTAGATTTATTTATTTATGTTTACATTCTCTTTGATTTTATATATTTATGTGATTTATAGATATGAATAGAAAGGACCACATTTTCTATCTTAATTTAGAAATAAACATTTATTGTATGTTGGACATAAATAAAGAAGACTAATAAATATTTAAATGAGAGAATAAATAAAAAGTAGTCTTAGATCTTTTATTATAAAAGTATCAAATATGTCATTGATTATTTAATCGAACTCATTTACACTAAGGGATTGTTTGTTTTTAATAAAAAAGCTCTTAATGTCCTCTTAAGTCTGAATCGGTCAGATATAAGAGGATTCAGTGTGTGTTTTTTTTCCAATTAAGAGCTTAATATTAGGTCTGAAAATTTAAGTGGTTGAGAAACCTCTTATTTCAAATCGTCGCCTACCTACTCTGATCTCTTTGCACTTGATTTCTCTGGATCAACTCTTCTGTCTCGATCTCTCATCTCTCAACTCTGTCAACTGTTGATCCATATCAACTCTCGATCTCTCATCTTCAAACTTCATATTTCAGACGCAAAAAACAAACAGTCTAATTGATTCAGATTTCAGATTTCAGATTTCAGTATCACCTCTTAAAAATCAGAAGTGAATTCAGACTTCAGACTTCAGCACCTCTTAAAAAACAAACGCCACCTAAATCATCTAAAATAATAATAAAATGATGAAAATATATTTTATTTATATTTATGATGATTTATCTTTGTGTATATATAGAGAAAGCGTTTAGTTCAAATGTTAACATAAATTATTGTGTTAATTTTATAAATTTTTTACATCAATCACAATTCATCTAAGAATTTAATGTTAAAGGTATATGGGTAAAAAAAAATTTAACTCCTATATCATTAATTGAGAGTTATAAGATACATAAAATCTCGTGATTTTTGCATTTTTTTTAATATTGATCTTATGATTTTTTTTTAATATTGATCTTCCATTTTTAAGATTTATAACTTTGTGATTAGTGGAGGAGATCCGTTAGTAAAATGTTTGTTATCGTTCAAGCAATTATGGATAAAGACATTGGAAAACAACACGACAACATTGAGAATGTTTAATTGTTTATGGTGACAGTCGGAATTCGAGATCGGGAAGTGAATTAAATAATCAAAACAAGTGTCTTGTTAATTATGAACACAAATTGACATGTATACACTCATATGAACACAAATTGACATATATGAACACTTGTGACAATTATGAATACAAATTGAACATATATGAACACTTGTGATAATTATGAACACAAGTTAAACATATATGAACACTTGTGGAAATTATGAACAAAATTAAACATATACGATTTCTACTGTTTGTAACCGATGTCATTGAATACACATTATTTTTTACGTAAATATCCTTCAACAATTATGTTCACATTGTTTGTGAGATTACACATTTAATAAATTAAATTTATAATATGATTTATCTCAACCATTTATTTTAAAAATCAATGGTCATGATTAGTTCATAAAGTTAAGACAACTATTAAAATTAACAAATGAACCTGCCTCTATCTCTCTCTCTCTATATATATATATATATCAATTATAATTGATACGTAAAATTGTATACCATGTACCAATCAATCGGAATTGATACCTTATTTTTCTGGTTGGTACGAGTGGGGTAACGGTTTTGTACCAACTTGCAATTATGTTCAAAATTTGAAGGGACATTTCGAGTTTGCAAGCAACGCATGTTGTGTGTAAGTGGTTTTTAATTGCTCGGAATAAACTTGAAAACGTTAAAATGCTCAAACAAGAAAGTTAATATTACGGTGTTTAATATTCAAAAAAAAAAACTAATAAATAATTTAATAAGTCGGTATCATGGTACAAGACTTCCAATACTGTATACCAACAAGTTTTCACACTTGATACAGTACTATAAAATAGACTGTAATTGGTACCAATTAAATTGATACCGATTTAATTGGTATAACTGATATACATATTAGTCGGTTTGGTTTGTTACAAAATCACCACCCCTCGTAAGTATCCGTATGATTTTCTTCCATCACAGTTAACATTCAAATCATCTTATATTTTGACTGGTTACAACGGGACCAGCTTATAATCCACTGTCCGAGTTAGCAACGGACCGCAAGGATCAACTGAAGACCAGTGCATATCAATTACACATCTTGTATTAAGGACCGGTTAAACCTTAAGGAACCGAGACCCGTTATGTCGTAAACGGTTACGCCTAAACGCTTTTTGACCAAGACCGGTTATAACCGGTTTCGAACTTTATAAATGAACCAAGCCAACAAAACCCAAATATAGAACCACCAACTATTTCATGGCTTCAAGATTTCATTTAAAACTATCCTTTTTTGATCAACAAATCATAGATTTTTCTACCTATCAAAATAGTTTTCCTCTAAAAGGGAGTTAAGGTCGTCGCGGATTATTAAAGTGACGGTCGAAATTACGATCAACGACAAACCAAGATCAACCCAAGCTCGTCTTCGTGATTTCAAAAGCCAAGAAGCAAGCAGCATTAGCCGGCATGCTTCTTGCCATTGCGGGTCCAAAACCTTTATATAAACCTGCGACTCCCTCGGCTTTCAATGTCTGTTTAAAGGCGTCAACTAAACCCGAATATTTCGGGTTTTTATAATCATCGATCTGGATCACACTCTTCACCACGTCAAGAGGGTAAACAGAAATCCAATACGATCCACCAGCCAAACCTCCGGCTAACATCAGTGAACCGCGGTCTAAACCAGAAGTGTCGACTCCACCGGCAAAATACTGCTTCAGGGCCTCATAGACACCAAACATGGTTGCATTTCCGGGGACTTCACGAGTCATTGTGGGAACTAGTCCTTTAAAGAGACCCCTCACACCTCCTTCGGACCTCAAGACGTGCTTAGCCACGTCCATTGGACCGCTATACTTCGGTGCAGCCGTAACCGCTGATGAACCTTGAGCCTGCAATCTACATTTCGACGAATAAGAAACCTAATTAGGTAAACATAAGAAGTTACAGTATGAATCAATTTGTGTGGTGTTGTAATTGAAATTGGATTTAATAGTTTGATGAGATACGGAAAAAATGCAGCAAAGTTTGGTTTAGCTTCGATTTAGCGTAAAGAAGTTCAAATTTTCCTATTTCGTACTCATTTCATTTTTGACAGATTTTTTTTGTTAACTGTGGGTGTCCGAGCTAGCGCACCTTGGCTAATCTCATGGGGTTTTGATGAAAAATCCAAGAAAATCCCTAGTGGCATTGGAGGGACCCGAGTTAGTGATATATGAGGAGGAGCCCCAAAGACCAAAGCCTTATTGTCAGTTGAGCTAATCCATCAAGGTACCGGCTGATCTTATAACATTTGATGACATGGATACCTGCTTATGAAAGGGATGCCATGAAGTGGATGATGAACTTGATATCTACGTCATCAAATGTTACAAGATCAACAGATTACCGATTAAAATGGGTGATGAAACTTGTATGTTCAAATTCACGATTAATGCCTTTTTAACTAATCTAATGCCCTTATGCCTTTTATTAGTAGCATATATTATAAAGTTTAATGTATTTCTCCAAATTTTCAGGAAAACTGAAGTGACCTAATGGATTTCAAAGCTGAAAACTAGTATGCACATTTCAAGAGGAGGCAATATTTGAGTTAAAGGTGTATTTGGTATTCAGACATGACAGAACAGAACAGAATAGGACAGGACATGATAGAACAATTGTTCAATGTTATGTTTGATAAGAAAAAACTGGACAAAATAGAACAAGTAAAATGACCAATTTATCCTTAATGAGTTGTTTATTTTAATTAATTTATGTAACTTATTAAATTATAATAGAATAATTATCTTTTATAACAAAATATATCATTTAAAATCTTTCGTCAAAACAATTAAAATGACACACAAAAAAAAGTTTATTTAGTTTCCAATTTTTATTGTTATCTCGTTTCTACATTATTTTTTATTATTAATATATAATAAATTACATAAATTAATAAAAATATAAAACCGTATAAAAATAATAATTTTGAAGACAGTAAAATGAAAGTTTAAAGAAACATAAAATAAAATAAATAAAATTTAAAGAATGAATAAAATGTAAAAAGGAGAACTATTTGATGTTTTAGAAGAGAATTAAGTTTTATTTTGAGGTTATATTGGTAAAATATAAGTCTATTCCACCTTATTCCACCCGCTTCCATGGGGTAGGGGTGGAAGAGGTCTGTTCCGCTACGTTCCTGTTTGTTCCACGTAAAAGTCGTCATGCCAAACATGAGATAGGGATCTCTGTCATGTTCTGTCTTGTCGAGTGTACCAAACACACCCTAAGATGAGACAAGACTATCCATGCCAAATTAAAACCCTAAAACCTTAAACAATTCTTTCGCTTGCCTACTTCAATCTCGACTATGTACAAAACAACAAAGAGAGTAACTGTGGGAAACCTGCACTTGATTAACTCAGCTGGGGTGGCCAAAACGGCGAGTGCAACTCCAGCACCAGCTCCAGCAACCATCTGCTGGTTCACGGTGAGGGGTGCACCAGGTTCGGACCTCAAAAGCGCTTCCATTTGTCCCCTAGCCGTGAACAACACAGCATTTAGCACAGCCACAGTAGCAAGTGGAGCTCCCATACCTTTGTACAGTCCCCGCGGGCCTTCTGCTGCTACCGTCTGTTTAAGAGCATCCATGGCACTAGAGTATTTAGGGCGTTGACCAGGTGTTGGGCTCGGTTGACTTTGGAGCTTCACCTTGATGGTATCAAATGGGTGCCCCACAAACAACTGTGTAACCCCTCCTACGGTTCCTGCCGTTAAGTCCTTCGCCATATCTGCCATCTAAGATCCAAACAGCATTGCAACAAGAATTACAGTTGCATACAGACATTAATTCCATCTCAAACAAATGAAAGGATTGAATTCAGCACATAAATTCAGCCATGATTTTGCACTTGATTTTAGTGTCTATAGACATATACAAATGAGTCAACTCAGTACAGATACAGAAGCTGCACAATTTGTCATAGAAATAGAAAAGGAACACTTATGTTTAACAATGGAGATCATCGTACCTTTGCAGAATACTTGATAAATTCAATAGAGAATGAGCAACTAATCACGTATTCCGGAACCCCAAAGAATCCGATCTGAAAAACCAACAAATAATCAACAATCAACATATAATCAGGAGAAATAATTGGAAATAGGCAGAGTCAAAACATGAGGGCCTAATCATAATCTTAACGGCCGCCATTATCGACGTCCATTGAAGGAAGGAACTTAACAACATGAAGAAGAAAACTACCAAATGGTTATGGGTTATCAATGGATGCCTATCGGCATTCAATGCACGTATCAATAAAATCCGGCTACAGATTGAAGAAGAAATTAGGTTTAATCGTCAATGAAAGATATGAAGGTTTGTTTGAAATTGAAATTGAAATTGAAATTGAAACTGAAACTGAAATCAAAACCAGAAAAAGATGGAGAGAATATGGGGAAACGGTTGGTCTGAAATCAGAATCAAATCTCACACCATAAACAGGATGAATCAGAGAACTTAATGAACCAATCGATGTAATTCAACGATTCAAATCAAACCAACAAGCTGCAAGAAAGATTTGAAGCTTTGGCAATCTTGTAGCGAACCCGCCCTGCTTGAAAATAGGCGCCTACTGGCCAAATGCTATATTAACTCCCTATATATCGTCATTAAGCCTTATTTTGTTACGTTTTCGTGTAGAATTTGTAATATGCAATACAACGACATAAATCTCGATTTTAATATATAATTTTTATTCTTTGTTTCTATTGATATAATACGATTTTATGTGGTTTTGAGAAAACAATAATTTTTTTATTATAATTTAATTTAGATTTAATAACAAAATAATTTTTTTTAGTTTAACAATATGTTTTTTTTATAAAAATAATAGTTAAACATTTTCTTATAACTCAATGATTGTCTTAATTATATTTTAGATTTTTTATATTTAAAATCAATGTTTATTATGTATTTGATTATGTTTATCTTTAATTAGTTACACGAATTTAAAAATGTAGTTTTAATAAATTGTACTTACGCAAAATTACTTGTAACCTTGAATTTTAAGCAATATGCATCAATAAACAATACATCATGCATAAAAAATGGTTTTTAAGAGTTTTTGTTAAATTCTTTATAATATAGTAGAAGGGTACCCGTCCAATGCAGCGAGATATATCTCGATTTCAATGTTTCGGTTTTATTTTTTTTTGGTTTTCGTCGATGTTATAATATGAATTTAACTTGTTTTGAGCAAACAATAATGTTTTTCTTAATAAAAATATAAATTTGAAGATATCATAAAAATTAAAAAATATATAAAATTTCTCATTTTTTTGTGTAATTTCTTTAAGTCAGTTTTTTTATTAT